TGGTGTTAGGATTAGATAGGATTATTCCACTCCATACTTTTATTCCTTTATTCTTTAATTATATACTTAGGGATTCAATTCTGTCCCTTTGCTCAGCCCTGAAATTCAACTAGTTTATAGTTACATTATGGTAATTCACCATATATGCTATATTTGGTATCATCTCAATGAGTACTATCCAACTAAATTGGGCAAATAATCTAATTACCTACATATAGTGAACAAAGTGGTTACATATTTGGTTGTAATAGCTTTGCATAAGTATTCAAGTATAGGTTTTTTTGCATACCATTTTATACCATATTGTATGAGTTTATACTTGGGTTTATTAAATGGATTTAAGATCTACCATTTGTACAAGCTTAAGCTTGGGTTCATAAGTAAGGCACATTAGCAACTTGGTTACACTTTGAATTTGCAAAATTGATGTTAGTCTATAATTGATAGTTACCTATAGCTTTGTTATAAGCTAATCCATAGCTATTTAACACAGCATTAATGGATCCTTTTTAGGCATGATTATTATTAGATAAATCAAGATTGAAGGGATTAGCCTATTAGTTTAAGTAGTCATTATTGTACTCTCTTATAAACTTTTATTAAACTGGATTATATAAGTAGTGCAAATACAAGTTTAGGGTTTAGTCAAGTTTAGTCCAAAATAAGGTCATTAGGGACAAAGGATCAAACATGTAAATCATCTTCTCTTCTTTAAAAGATGATTTGCATTATTTCATTGCTCATATTTTTATCATGTAAATGAGAGTCCCCACTTCTATATATATAAATTATAATGGTCTTATGTTGTGGAATAGATTGATAAAGTGTTAAAAAATTTTATTTAAGCTTGCTATTGGAAATTTGAGTTAAAATGCTTAGTGTTAGATTAATTTTAAATTTGGTCAAAAGAGAGGGGTAGACACAAAAATGAAGTTGGTGATGTTATGTGTCATAAATCTCTATCAATAGAATATAGAATGTATATTATATTTTGTAGTTTGAGTTAGCACTAGGCACTACCATAAGCTTTTATATTAGTAATACATGCTTACTTGTGATATTGTTTGATTAATGATTGAATCATTATAATTCTTATATCATATTTATATGGTCTTGCAAGTTATTTATTCAAACAATTATCAACCCTAAAGTAGTTAATAGTGATGCTAGTCTACTTGCAAATATTAACATTATAATAGCTTTGACTAAATTTTCAATAAGTGATCCTTTATTCTAAATTAGTATTGGTACTTTAGTTTTTATTGAATTCACTCATTGGATGTTGGTAAATGTTATAACATTCATGTATTATAACTTAATAGTGCATTTGTTGGCACTTGAAGTAAGCTATTAGATAAGAAAGTTGTGTAGTTGAAGCATTAACATTACTAGCACCTATATTAGTAGAAGTGGCATTGTTATTTCAAATAATAAAGTGTTTTTCTTAAAGCTTAATTTTTCATCTATTTTTCTTATTAGTATTTTAACTTTGTATTGGATTTGAACATGATTGAAGAAGACTGTTAGTGTGATATGAATATCAAAAGATTTGACCTTTATAATTGAGTCTTTGGTATTCACTAAGACATTTATAGATATCATTGTTGGATATTGAATATATATTATTAAATATTTATGCATATTATTGGGTCACAAGAATTTGTGTTAAAGTGAATCCATGCAATATTTTAAATAGAAGGAAGTTAGTTGAGCTTTAAGAATTTGCATTTTTGGACTAAAAGTCATTCTTTTTTTAGGATGAAAGCTTTTTTCAGAATTGTTTTTTTACTTTTTCAATGGATGATTTCCTGATTATTTTTCTAAGAAATCATTCTATTTTTGTGAGCCATTACAAACTAGTGGAAGGGTGGGAGTTTATTTCAGTTGGTTTAGACTTTAAAAGATGGTAAAAAACAATTAAGTTTAATGCAATCTAGAGTTATAGAAAAGTGGTTGTTGCGTTTTTTCTTGAGAGGTGACTTTTATGCCTTTTTTTTTTAATATTATACTTGATAACATGTTACACTTTACATTTGGATTATAATTAATGAGAGTAGTGTGCTCTCATTGATTTTGACTTAGTATTAGATGTCTAGGTTAGTTATTTGTAGTTGAGGTATTAATACATGTATTGAAGCCTATACTATTAAAGGTTGTGTACTTATACAAGTCCATTTAATAGTCTCCTTTTTAGCTTCAGTTAAGTATTGATAATTTATAATTAGCCTCTTCAATCATTAGAGGTATTAGTTAGATGTGTTAATAAAATTATTATTGTACAATTAGATTTGAATAGTATTGTGAAATGACTATAAGTATCAAAAGCTATTTATTAGTGAGTCCTTTCAGTTATTCTATTTTTACTGTCATAATGACAAGAGGTTGATATTGCAAGTTCCCTTTATTAATCTCTACCTAAACTAGTTAAGAAATTAATTAATACATGTTAGACCAAAAGGGCACTAAAGAAGGAAATTTTAAGGTGTCATTAATCAAGCATACTTTAAAAAATGATGAGAAATTTATATTATTTGCACGCACTCATGGTTTACACTTAGAAACCCCCACAATATTGGACTTGGTCCTTCAATATTCACTATATGATAAATTTACTATGTTTGCCAAAACACCCTTTTTATCATACCCTATGTATTGGCTTTATTCAGTCGTATTGGTTACTTATAAAAGTGTCTATATTTGTTAATTAAGTATATTTAAGAAATGTAGAAATTGTTTTATACACAATGATGTTATTCTTACCTCCAAATTTGCAATATAATGTTATTTAATATTTAGTAAGTTTTGAAGATTGTCCCAAAGACTAACACTTGGGATTGAAGTGAAAGCATAAAGTATGCTTTCATATTTAGTAAAGGGTTTAGAGTTTAAAGATAATGGGTAGGTCAAGCACGGCAAACTAAATTAATACATTAATGTGTTTATTTTTTTTTCTATTTGCATTAAGTCTAAGCCCAAGATGCTAATTAGTGGAGTATTCATATTTTGTGTTACACCACTAATATGCTAAAATAGCGTTAGGATGTTAAATGCTTTAAGAGTATTCAATATTTCTTGTTTCTATATATGATTAAGATTTATTTCGTGCTTTAGTTTTTTCACTCCTTAGCTATATATTTTAGAATTTAACTCTATTTTTTCATTCAATGGCCCAAAGCCCTAAAGCTCCAGTTTTGCTTTGTTACCCTTGGCACATATGTCCAAGGGTTGGGTTCCATTTTGTGGTTTCACTATATGATAAAAGGTGAAAAAAACATGTAGTATATTTAATTTATTTGAGTTTTGATAACTCAAATAAAATTTGTTGGACAAGATTAAAAATTAGCAATATAGATTTTAGGAATGTCAGTCTCCACTTCACCTCACTCACTTTGGTTTTTTGTTTTATTTTGTAAGTGGTTTGTTGCCACTTAGAACTTTGACCATTCACCAGAAGTCTCAACATGCAGAAAGCCTAAACGCTGAAGAAACAGAGCAAGCTTGTAGAGCACAACCCAGTACGAAGATAATACCATCATCCATGAAAGAAAGAGGTAATTTAATGAGCACATAATCCCCCATGATAAAGCACGTGAGGCACAGGCTACTGAACGCTTCCTTGGGCATCAGGCACACGTGGCATATTCAGACAGAAGCTACACAGACAAGCTACTGACTATGGACGTTCTAAGGTACTGACCCAGCGGAAAAACTCCAACCGCTCCCTCTGTAGCGGAAGATCTCCCGGGCACGTTTCCTGCTATAATTGCCTCACCCTAACACGGCCTGGAATAACAAATCCACGAGGAAGCCTGGGCAGGCCGTCAATTTCAAAGTTGAGGTAGTGCCTTGACAAAGGCTTGGACCGCAAGAGGATTCTCCTTGCTCCCATCTCCCCAACCACGCCCTACAGTGGCGTCGTGTGATCCACAATCATGCCATCCAGAAACAGCTCACCTAGACCCCACTTCGTCTTCACGGCTATAGCAGGAAAGCAATCCCCAGCAGCCCTGTCAAAGAAGATCCTAAAGGGATCCTCCATAGAGGATTTGAAATCTTTGCCGGGCATTAGGTCAACGCATTGGCACAAGGTAGAGCGCGCTGGATGCCCGCCGGGGAGCTACGAGCCAGTGTGCGGAGCGCGCGGCTGCGATATTTCGAGGCAGTGGCTTGGAATCGATCGGGCTTCCTGCATTCAGCCTTGCCTGACACAGAGATAGATTGAAATATGGAGGTAAGCTATGTTCTTTCTTCTATCGTCTTGTTTGGCATTGTCGAAGAACTAAATGAGACTTAGAGCAGACATGCAGCTATTTCCTTCTTTTTGTGCATTATAGACACTACCTCCTCACCGTGCACTACATTCTCCAAACTTTTTTCTTCATGGCACATCCAAAACGCTGGGTATCTCAAGGTGTTGCAACCAAGGAACCATCCAAGTAAGCATTCGTTTCTTTTCAACACACTGTTTGAACATTTTTATCTCCTTCAGTCTCTCAGCGTTGGCTGTTCTTCAATCTTATCAAAGAGGCTGCCAGCTTCATCGCTGTAGCACAAGCGTGCCACTCGTCAAAACCATGCTCTTGACTCTGGGTGCTAAAGACGGTCATTTCTAGAAATCTTAAGCCGTTTGATCAGTGAGGAGACCATCCCGCAGTTGTACACAGGTCAAGGAGCTCGTGAGGACGAGGCCTTGCACAAAATGATGGAATTTATTTTCTTGAATCTTCTATCTTCGTACAGGTACTGTCCTTAAAATTGAGTGTCGAGATCTCTTGTGGAGTTTCAACGTTCCTTCTTCAATCTTTCTTGCTGTAACTACTCACTGTCGATCTCTTTCTCGCAGGTCACAACAGATATCCATGAAAGACCTCAAGTATGTAAAGTTTTTCCAACAGACCTATTGCACGGGACACAAAAAATGCTTTCCTTTACGGTGGATCGATCCAACAGAGTAATGGCTTTCCTTTCCTCTTCCGATTGACCACTGTGGGGCAATTCATTTTCATTCCCAGGTCTTCTGATTCCAAACACTTTATATTCGTCAGCTGTAGTTGGCCTGGAAGGTTTGAAACTGCCTCTGTCGCAAGCTAAATTAACTTGCAGTCTTGTTTCCAGTACTCGCGAGGAATCAAATAAACATTCTTGTAGTGATCCATCTGAAACACTGTGAGCTTTCCACAAGTAGAAGCTCTATACCAATGTCACCGCCCATTCTAGCTCGTAGTCCCTGGAGCTCTAACACTCAACCATTCCCGACGAGTGTTATCGCACAGGCTCATAGAGACACCTGTTGTCATACTCCTCGCCGCTACTTGGTGGTGAAGCACAGCTTCTTAACCTCTTGCCACGCCCATTCTACAACAGAGAAACTTTCAACTCAAGATGTTGGAATTTTTAAATGAGCACTTTCTTGCGAATATTCGAGGCCGGTTGACTCTAGCTCATTTTTAATGTTAGACTGGATTGAAGGGTTGGCATCTCTAGAATTCATCGCGTATCTGGATGATCCACACTGATTTGGCTATATGATAAGTAAAGAGACAAAATTTCAACACCAAATATTGGTTAGTTTTTATAATAAAAAACCTAATTTATTAATTTGTGAATTTTTTTTTGGAGTGGCGATCGATCAGCTCTAACTCCAACAGGGCACTGCGGTGTTTGAGCCGATCTTTTTCAGTTCGTGTGCTCGTGATGAAAGAAGACGAATGTTGTGATCTCTTTGTAGAGCTCATTTCTTGCATTGTAGAACGCTGGGTCTCTTTTCAATAATTAACATGTTTCACATATTTTGCTATTGATTTTTTTGCTCAACCGTGACGCTGGTAAGTCTCTCCCCTTTTATATCCCTTATATATATACTCAAGTTTATCCTAAGGCCGGAACCATGGCGAATCCCTTTAGCAAGTGGAGAGAGACAGAGATCGGTGAACAGGTGCAACACGTTGTGAGAGCTTTGTTCTCTCGGTTTGGTCTGGACAACACCGAGTCTCTCAGCTTCTACCACTCGACAGCCCAGCGCGAAGTCCAAGTTTGCGATCTCAAGTGGAGAATTTGGCACCATGCCCTTCGTCACGTCCTTCAGACGACCGTCCCGGATGTTTACTTGCTCGCAATCTTCGCTGCTGACTTCTACGAACAGCAGCTGCCTCTCTTTTCCTTTATGTTCCAGGACGTGGCAAGGATTTTCGATGACGAGGTACTAAGTGGTTTCTTATGTTTACGATCCAGAAGCTAAGGTTCCTTGCTGCAGAAGGATGGTATGATCTTCAACATAGATGCGACCGAAGAAGCACTGGCATGTATGTACATGGCCTTCTCTCTCTTTTCTTTTTGCTTTTCATTGTTACTTCTAACACGAGAAACCTTCCAGCCATGGCGGACGCAGTGGCGAAAGTCCCTTCGACTTGCATGCCACAAACAATCGTCGAGGATGCTGCTCGGCTGTTTGACATGAGTGAGGCAGCCTGCGATGTTATACATACCTGGCTGCTACTTCAGCTTGACGGGGAGAGCTACGATCAGGCAATGGAATGGCTGGCTGCTTTCGAGACGCGGGCTCTTGCGGACGCTGCCACTCACGCTGCACTGGTGTTTTTCGCAGAGAACTACCAGTCTCCACCGTCGGAGGAGATAATCGAGCTGCTTGTCCCATGGCTTGATACCGTCCCAAGGATAGAGTGCAAGTCGATTGAGCTCACTGCCGCTGTCCGCCAGATGCTCGAGGTAAGTAAGCATTTGCCACTTTTCTCGATCCTCGATCTGATGCTTTTGTTTCCTAATGTTCAGGAAGTGAAACTGCGAGGCACTGACATCGAGAATGTCAGTGCTGCGACGAGTGCTTTTGTCGAAGACTGGCTCACAAAACGTTCGCGACTTTACCGAAAACAACGATGGGACTTCCACCCGTACAGTGACGAGAGCGAGACAATGGGCCGCTTGCTCTACACCTGGACGTTGACGACGAGAGGCAAGAGTGATCACGCGGAGCTCCAGAAGCTGTGCGGGGTCACCACCAAGTCGTTCGTGGAGCACGTCAAGTGGAGCCTCCAGGGAGCTACCGACGAGGAGGAGGAGGACAGGTGCGAGGAGCTTTACGATGCGGCAGCCAGCGTTTTCGGAGCAGCATTCCGCGGTGTCTTTGTGAGCCTGTGCGAGAACTGTCGCTGGAAGGACTCGGGAATGCTCGAGTGCTCGCTGGAAGAGCTCCAGGGGATACGAGCTAGAGCGTGGAATGGGCGGTATCAAGTTCACAAACCTCGGCTGGAAACACGGATGAGTCAGATCAACGACATGATCATCTACCTGGTTGACGTGAGTATAGTGCTCTCTTTTGTGGAAAGCTTACGCGGTTTTCTCAGATGATCTACGAGGATCACTACAAGAACGACTATTTACTTCCTCGCGAGTACTGGAGGCAAGACTGTAAGTTAATTAGATTGCGAGTGAGCTATCTTCAATCCTTGTGCTGATCGTGGTAACTTACTTCCAGGCCAAGATGTACTGTTTTGCAAGAACTTGGGCGTGAAACTGGAGAAAGCAGAGAAGGGCGTGTATCTCCTGGAGGATTTCATACCATTAGATTTCAAATCTATGAATGTAGCGCCTTGTTAGATAGAATATGGAATGTTAGATAAAAGATGGAATATTCTTGTTTTCCTTGATTTAGGGGTTGCTAGGGCTAGGGCAGAGAAGCAGCGATGGAGAAGGCGAGAGACGGCGAGGCGGTGCTCCAGAAGAAGCTCGAGTACTTGTCGCTCGTGTCCAAGGTATGTGCCGAGCTGGAGACGCACGTAGGGTGCAGCGACAAGACGCTGGCCGAGTTTATCATCGAGCTGGGCCGGGGCAGCGAGAGCGTGGAGGAATTCGGCGGCAAGCTCAAGGAGAATGGGGCGGAGATGCCGGATTACTTCGTCAAGACGCTGCTGACGATCATTCACGCCATTCTGCCGCCCGTGAGGAAGGAGAAGGAGAAGGAGAGGGACAAGGAGAGGAAGGAGAAGGAGAGAGACCGGGAGAAGGAGAAAGATAGAGAGCACAAAGAGAAGGAGCGAGAGAAAGAGAACAGGGAGAGGGAAAGGGATAGAGAGCGGGACCGAGATAGGGAGAAAGATAGAGATAGAGAAAGGCACAGGGACAGGGATAGCAGGGATAGCAGGACCAGTAGGAGAAGGAGAGACGAGGAAAATGGAAGAGACCAGCGTCGGGAGCCCGAGTCCCGGCCGGAGGAGCCAGAGCTCTACAAGATCTACAAGGGCAGGGTGGCGAGGATAATGGACTTTGGCTGCTTTGTCCAGCTGAATGGGTTCTGGGGGCGCAAGGAGGGACTAGTTCATATCTCTCAGATGGCTTCTCGAAAGGTTGGGCATGCCAAGGATGCTGTGGAGAGGGACCAGGAGGTTTGGGTGAAGGTGGTGTCTTTGACGGGGCAGAAGATGAGTCTTTCTATGAGAGACGTGGACCAGAAAACCGGGGGCGATTTGGTTCCTATTCACAAGCCATTGGGAAATGAAGAGGATGCGTTTAGAACCAATCCGTCCATTGCCAACAAGCCGTCGACGACAAGGAAGGGTCTTTCTGGGATTCCGTTGATCGACGACGACCCAGACGTATCGCACTCCAGAAGGCCTTCGAAGAAGATGAGCTCTCCAGAGAGGTGGGAGATAAAGCAGCTGGCTGCTTCAGGGGTGGTCGGCATCCGAGAGAATCCCCTGTATGACGACGACGGTGGTGGTATGCTGTATCACGACGAGGGTGCTGAAGAAGAGCTTGAAATCGAGCTTAACGAGGACGAGCCTGCGTTTTTGAGGGGACAAACAAGATACTCGGTGGATCTCTCGCCTGTGAAGATCGTCAAGAACCCCGACGGTTCGTTGCAGAGAGCAGCAACAACTCAGTCGGCTCTGGCTAAAGAGAGAAGGGAGCTTCGCGAACAGCAGCAGCGGACAATGCTGGATTCTATTCCCAAGGACTTGAATCGTCCATGGGAGGATCCCATGCCAGAGACAGGAGAGCGGCACCTAGCGCAGGAACTCCGGGGTGTAGGACTGTCTGCATACGACATGCCCGAGTGGAAGAAGGATGCGTTTGGGAAGGCTCCAACTTTTGGACAACGGTCGAAGCTTTCGATTCAAGAGCAGAGACAGAGCTTGCCGATTTATAAGCTGAAGATGGAGCTTGTGAAGGCTGTGAACGAGAACCAGGTCCTGGTCGTGATTGGTGAGACCGGCTCGGGAAAGACGACTCAGATGACACAGTACCTGGCTGAGGCGGGATATACTTCGAGGGGGAAAATCGGCTGCACACAGCCTCGTAGAGTGGCTGCCATGTCCGTGGCGAAGAGGGTGGCGGAAGAGTTCGGTTGCCGTTTGGGTGAGGAGGTTGGATATGCTATCCGTTTCGAGGACTGCACAGGGCCCGAGACTGTTATAAAGTACATGACAGATGGTATGCTTCTCCGAGAGATACTTGTGGATGAAAACCTCTCAGCATACTCGGTGATCATGCTGGATGAAGCTCACGAGAGAACCATCCATACGGACGTTCTTTTCGGGTTGCTCAAGAGCTTAGTCAAGCGGCGGCCTGATTTGCGGCTGATCGTTACGTCGGCAACTCTGGACGCAGAGAAGTTCTCGGGTTACTTTTACGACTGTAACATCTTCACCATACCAGGACGGTCATATCCAGTCGAGATTCTCTACACCAAACAGCCAGAGACCGACTACTTAGACGCAGCATTGATCACGGTGATGCAAATTCATCTTACGGAGCCGGAGGGGGACGTCTTGCTCTTTTTGACGGGTCAAGAGGAGATCGACACCGCTTGCCAGATTTTGTATGAACGGATGAAGGGTCTGGGACCGAACGTGCCAGAGTTGATCATCTTGCCGGTCTACAGCGCTCTTCCCAGCGAGATGCAAACTCGAATCTTCGATCCACCTCCTGCAGGGACGAGGAAAGTCGTCGTTGCTACTAATATTGCGGAGGCGTCCCTGACAATTGATGGCATTTACTACGTCGTTGATCCGGGATTCGCAAAGCAGAAGGTGTACAACCCGAAGCTGGGACTCGACTCGCTCGTGATCACTCCTATATCTCAAGCGTCAGCGAAGCAGCGAGCTGGTCGTGCCGGAAGAACAGGTCCCGGGAAGTGTTATCGACTTTACACTGAGAGCTCGTTCTGGAACGAGATGCTTCCGACGACCGTGCCGGAGATACAGAGGATCAATCTCGGGATGACGGTTCTGATGATGAAGGCCATGGGGATCAACGATTTACTCTCGTTCGACTTCATGGATCCTCCACAGTCCCAGGCGCTTATTTCTGCTATGGAGCAACTCTACAGCTTGCAAGCGTTGGATGAAGAAGGTTTGCTGACCAAGCTGGGGCGAAAGATGGCGGAGTTTCCTTTGGAGCCACCTCTGTCGAAGATGCTCCTGGCGAGCGTGGACCTTGGTTGCAGCGACGAGATCCTCACAATCATCTCGATGCTCCAGGCGCAAAACATTTTCTATCGTCCTCGTGAGAAGCAGGCCCAGGCAGATCAGAAGAGAGCCAAGTTCTTCCAGCCGGAGGGTGATCACCTGACGTTGCTTGCTGTTTACGAGGCGTGGAGAGCTAAAAATTTCTCCGGACCATGGTGCTTCGAGAATTTTGTACAGTCTCGATCACTGAGGAGAGCACAAGACGTGAGGAAGCAGCTGCTCACGATCATGGACAAGTAAGACAAGTTTTCTTTTTTCCTTTTCGTTTTTCTCATGTGTTCTTGTTTGTGTGCAGATATAAGCTGGATGTGGTTAGTGCTGGGAAGAACTTCACAAGGATCAGGAAAGCAATATGTGCTGGATTCTTCTTCCATGCCGGGCGCAAGGATCCTCAGGAAGGATACAGGACGATAGTGGAGAACCAGCCCGTCTACATTCATCCAAGCAGTGCACTGTTCCAGCGTCAGCCCGACTGGGTGATCTACCACGAGCTAGTTATGACGACGAAGGAGTACATGCGAGAAGTTACACTCATCGATCCAAAGTGGCTGGTCGAGCTCGCTCCCAGGTTCTTCAAGGAAGCCGATCCAACGAAGCTGAGCAAGAGAAAGCGGCAGGAACGTATAGAGCCGCTGTACGATCGGTACCACGAGCCGAACTCGTGGCGTCTGAGCAAACGACGAGGATAAGTGGCTGGCTAAATTTCACCATGGCAGGATTGTCAAAAAGCCTCTACAGGTTTTTTCCATGGTTTTGAATTCTCTTTCACTCTCGTTTTCGAAACTCTTCGTTTTCTACTCGTTACAGGAAGCAGTCTTTCCTCCGGGCATTGTTCCTAAAGAACCTGGCCGGATCAAAGTACTTCAAGTCCAAAGTCTTGCATTCGCCATCGACGATGAGCTCCGACAAGAAGGCCCCGGTGGCCGGTCCGTTAAGAATCCCCCAGTAGCCGTGTCCGGTGGCAACGTACGCTCCCTCGACGTTTGGAAGCTTTCCAATGAGCGGCCGTCCATCTTCCGATAGCGGCATGAAGCAGGCCTGGGCGGTCTCGAGCTCGGCCCCTTGGAGGTGGGAGGAGACGGTCTCGGACACTCTCCTCAACATGGCGACGGCCTCGTTCCTGGGCTTGACTTGGTGGGCAGTAGCGGGCAGCTCGGCCTCCTCGGACATGCCCGAGACGTAAACTTCGCCGGTGGGACGCGGGTAGACCTCCGGAGCGAGCTGCTTGCCTTCCCGGGTCTTGTACCTCAGCAGCAGCGCGTGCGGGGTGAGATCTTGCGAGCTCTTGGGCCGGACGACGATGCTGTGAGCCTTCCTCCCCGAGATCCTGGTGAGGTCCGAGATGGAGCTGAGATTGCTGGACCAGGGGCCGAGCGCCACCACCGCCACCTCGGCCGGGATGAGCTCCTTGTCCACGACAACTCCCAGCAGCTTCATCCGGTGTGGATCCAGGCGGAGCTCCTCCACCTCGCCGCGGATGACCCGGACGCCAAACTCGGCCTCGGCGGCGGAGAGCACCGCTTGCGTGAAGAGAGCCGGATGGACCTGCGCGGTGGTGGTCTGGTTTCCAATCGGGGTGGCACCTTTGACAGGGCCATCGGTCCAGGATGGAAGAACCGAGGGGGTGGAAGCGTTCACCACCTCGCCGCCACCAGCGTGATGGTTGTCAGTGCCGGACCTTGGCTCCTCCACGACGAGGCTGAGCGTGTCGAGGGGGCGATAGCCGTAGCGATGCGCGCCGTCGAGCTCGGCGGCGAGGCGCTGGTGCATGAGGAAGCTGGCGCGCGCGAGCTTGCCGAGGGGGCTGCCGTCGCACCAGTCGAGCGCGAGGAAACCGCCGGCCTTGCCCGAGGCGGCGCAGGCGACGCTGCAGCGCTCCACGACCGTGACGCGGACGCCCTTCTTGGCGAGGAAGTAGGCTGTGCAGGCGCCGATCACACCCGCGCCGCACACGATGGCGTGGCCGGGGCTGGGAGACGGGTCGCTGCTGCTGCTGCTGCTACTGGCGCTGGGATCGATTGGAGTGGGCGGAGTCGGATCCATTGGATTGTTGGAGGTGCCCGCGTCGCCGCCGCGCACCCTGCGCCTGGCGTTGGGATCATCCGCGGCGCGGCGGAGAGGAAAAGAAAAGACAACGGTTGGGTGTCTTGGCCCTAGGAACAGGAAGGTGAAAATCAGTGCCACGTCATGTCATAGAAAACAAATTTGTGAATAATAAAAGATGTTTTATTGATCATAATCAACAATTTTGTTATTTCTTGTTGTTTCCTTCATTTTTAAAGTGTATCTTTTTTTTTTTGAGTTCTTTTAGTCCTTTTGAATCTTTATTGAAGTCTTTGAAATGTTTTGTATTATATTTGTTATATATTTTTTTAGTTAAGTTTTGAATTGTTTCATGTTTGTTTCTAGATTTGGTGTATATTTGTTATTTGTATATTTATTTTATTCTTCTTTTAGCAACTATAGTTTAACAAAGTTTTCTCCTATAGCTTTTAAATTAGTTTTGTGATGTTTACATTTAGTTTCAGAATAAAACTTATTGCACAGATTTGATTTTTTCTAAAAATTATGAATAAATAAGTTTTAAAAAATTTATTCACTTTTTAAAATTTTTTTCCTAACCATTATAACATGTAAATGTCATATCTCACCTTACCAAATCCCTATATTATTTATTAGTTCATTTCTCCTTTATTGCATTATTTGCCTATTTATTAATCCTATTTTGAGTTGAGTATATAATCTGGTAAACTTTTTTTTAGTAAAATTAAATATAACTATTAGATTAATAAATATATAAAATTGTTTTTATTTCCTTATAGTTCAGTATATTATAGCTTATAATTCCATCTTTAACTTCTATAAATATTCTTTAAATATTTTAAGAATTATGTTAAAATATCATGTAATTAGAGCACTAGATTTACCCTATTATAAGATGCCTTTTGTTATATACAAAAGGTTAAAATATTTTTAAAAAAAATGTGTTTTTTTTTTTTGCAACTTTTCAGTACTTTTCAAATTTCTAAAGTTAATCATGCTTTTAATAAATTTATGATTGGTTAATTTGCACTTAGTGAATTATCATTCATTTATTCGTTAGCTGTTTATGAGGTTTTATAATGCATGATATTGACAGATTATAATCTTTGAGCCATTCATTTGCTAAACTCCTTGAAGTCTTATACCACCAAGCCTTCTGTCCTCATCCTAGGCTTCGCTAATCTACCTGCCGTACATCATGGGTTCAAGCCTGAATGCAATCCTGAGGTGTAGTCACCAGTTTATCAATTTGAATGTTAATGTTAATCAATTTCCACTTTTCTGATGATGTTGAAATGTAAATTATATCAAGTGTGTTAAATAAAATTCATCAACAACATCATGCATGCCACGTTGCAGATTGCTACGTCATTAATCCATGGTGGCACAGAATGAATAGTGAAAGCTATGCCGTGATAGGCTGTGGGTATACTATACACCATGTGCGGTCCTTGAATGCATACATTTACACAAGCCAACGTGCCGAGGAAGTGATAGTTAAAATACACACAAGTTCTCCTGGCACAAGAAATAACAAACAAGGCATCAAAAGATCTCTTGATCTTGCCGATCGGTGTCTATTACTGGAAGCGCGTATCGATTGATTCAATCCAATGGATCTAAACAAATGAGCATGTAGATTTGGGAGAGTTTCACGTGCCTTTGCGCAGTCGTACGATATGATCTCATATCCTCACGCGAGAGTCCCTCTCGATCAATCAAACTCCTCTCCTCTCTTAGCTTTCAAAACCAGAGAGTTTCTGCTATTCCAGTAGCGAGAAAGAGGCTTTGAATCGATACATGGTTTCGTCGTCTTCATGGATTTATATGAGCTTGAAGAGATTCCTTGATGATTCCAGCAGCCAGCGCGCGTAGAATAAAACCCGTATACAAAGTGGGAGGGAGTGCCCCTGTCGACTCCATTAAATTCCCGCACAGCTTGGCATGAAAAGGAACGTCGTTATTTGCTTGGACTCGCTGGAAACTTTAATGCTTTCATCTCACAAACGGGGGCGCGCAGAAAGTCAGGGACATGAGAAGGAAAGAAAGAGGAAGAGAAAGATTTGAGAGTGATTTGCTTCTTAAATCTCGTGCTTAAAACCTTTCAAAGCTTGCAGGCAGCCGGCTATGGCAGAAAGACCAGCTAAAACTTTAGCAAGAACACTGTAAGTTTTTCCACCACCAGAGGCTAGTACTAGCGTATAAATTGTCCCTGCTGGTCACCGAGCGAGAGCGAGAGGTTGGCTCCTTTAAAATCTCTCCCTTGCCAGTCCAGCGTACAGGAAGGAAAAAAACAGTAAAAAAAATGTAAGTTTCATGTGTGTCTGATCCAGGGCACTCAATGCTCGCAGGACTCCAGAGAGTGTTTTTCGCTCATCATGCCATGCAAGCTTATGGAATCAAAACTCGAGAGGGAGAAATCAAACTCCAAAATCTCCCAAAACTCCAAAAACGATTCAATCTTTGAAAACCATATGAAGTAGCAATCTGCGTCACTTCATCAAGCCGCACCAAGGTCAAGGAAAACTAAATGAAATGCGTGCCAGCACCACCTCCACCACCCTCCTTAAAAGAAAAACACGTAGACAGCAAATAAACGAAGGAAAAAACGAATTTTTCTGTGAGTAAAGGAACCGAAAGAAGCGTCCCCGAGTATAAGAACATAAGGCACTCTCAGTTGTACCCTTGTCTTCCCTCCAGGTCTTCCCTCCAGGAACAAAAAAGAGAGAGAGATATCTTCCTCTTCTTCGTTCTTGGCGATCGATCGTCCTTCATGGCGAGCTTAAGCTCCCTCCTCGTCATCGCCTGCATTGCTTCGGCGGCGCTGGCCAATGAGTTCCAGAGCTACGAGCAGCAAGAGCGATACTTTGAGCCCCAGAACTTTGGTGGCTACGATCAGTCTCTAAGCTACTCTGGATCATCCGGCTCCGGCTCCAGCTCCAGCGGCGGTGGTGGCAGTCCCAGCTCCGGCTCCGGCTCTGGCTCCGGCTCCAGCGGCGGTGGTGGCAGTCCCAGCTCCGGCTCCGGCTCTGGCTCCGGCTCCAGCGGCGGTGGTGGCAGTCCCAGCTCCGGCTCCGGCTCTGGTGGCGGTGGCTACGGTGGTGGCAGCCCCAGCTCTGGCTCTGGCTCTGGCTCTGGCTCCGTCCCAAGCACTGGCGGTGGTGGCGGTGGCTACGGTGGTGGCAGCCCCAGCTCTGGCTCTGGCTCTGGTTCCGTCCCAAGCACTGGCGGTGGTGGTGGTGGCTATGGAAATCCTGGCTCCGGCTCCGGCTCCGGCTCCGGCTCCGTCCCAAGTTACGGTGGTAGCCCAGGCGGCGGTAGCGTTGATCCAGGCAGTGGTAGCATTCCAACCGTGCCTTCCAGCGGCGGCATTCCCTCTAGCGGAGGCATTCCCTCTAGCGGCGGCATTCCTACTGTTCCTTCCGTTGGTGGTGGCACTGGCGGCATTCCTTCCACTGGAACTCCTTCCTCCGGTTGCTCTTGCGAGTAAGTTTCCATGGTTTTCACGAGCTTGGGCTTGCTTGTCTTGCTCGTTTCCTTCGTGGGCTTTGCTCGTTTGTTCCATCTTTCACTCCCTAGATCTTCTGTTTGTCTCGTTCTTGATATCGATATTGATATTCTATGGTTTGGTTGTTGTGATATGGACAGCTTCTGGGCTGCTCACGTCAACTCGTGGCCGGATCCACTCCAGCTGATCTCCACCGTCTCGGCCGTGTTCGGGGGTCTCGCCGGGAACACTTTCGGACCCAGCACCACGCTTCTCACTGCGCTGCAGACGAGGAGGTCGGATCCTTACAGCCAGCTCCTCCGCCAAGGCACCGCAGCCATGCTCAACGCCTACTCTCGTCCAAACTTCCAGTACACCCCTCTTGCCGTTCGCAGCCATTTCAACGCCGCACTCGTCTCTCCCCAGGCCGCCGCCGTGCAAGCCGCCAAGTTTGCCAACGCCAACCGAGGATATGGCGTGAATACCGTCTGCACATAAAGAAAGGCTCTTCTTCGTCCTTTCTCTTCTCTTCTCTTTTGGAACTCTTGTTCTCAGTATCTCCTCGGTGGTTTGGATAGTTGTATTGGTTTTTGTTGGCACAGAAAGATTCACTAGTAAAAGGCGTGCTAGTTCTTGAATAACGTCGATAGTTTCCTCTTGCCACATGCATCGTTTGTCCAAATCCTATCTAAGAAATTGTGATAAGATCTTTATTCTTCATGAAATGTCCAAGAGTTTCAAAGCAAACCCAGAGCTTCAAAGCAAACCAAGAACATTGCATGCATCCTACAAGAATTCAATCCATCTCACTCCACACTTTCAATCAATGAATTTGCGACTCCACGACGTTGAGTCGTGCCCAGCCGACCAAGTTCTAGTGGTTTCAAGGACAGCATTCTTTTCTGTCTGTTCTAGTTGCAACTTGCAAGCAAATCCCTTTCTGAAAGAGAAAGAAAAAGGAGAGTTTTTAAGACTTATCTGTTGCACCGCTCTTGGACAAGCTGGGAAATGAAGGCAGCTGCCGGAGCAACATCACCTAACGCTTCTGCCACACAAATTCCAATCTGGTCAGGCCTTGAATGAAGGGAAAAAAGGCCTATACCACTCAGTCCATATGTGAGCTGTCGCCTCTTGCGAAGTTTTATCGCTTTGTTGTTGTTTTGTTCCTGAGGATTTTTCTGCCTCGAGTTTCATTGGGCTGCGAAGATCATCTTGCAAACAAATTTCTCGATCCTTATTTGGTCAGCAAGTAATGGAAGATCATAAATCAAGCTGCTAAGAGATCGAAACGATGAAGCTCTTGGTCTAAATTTTGTCAAAGAAAAAGTCACCTTTTGTGTTTCATTGTGGTAGAGTTTTGATACCACTTAGTATATATCCACCTGTGGAGCTCATTTGCATGTGGGGATGCGTGCGGGATGGAAGAACCTGCGAGAAAAGATTAAACATTTTTCCTTCAGCACCGGTAGTACAAACCTGGTACTCTCTCATCCATGGCTCCGAGAGCTGCAAACTGACTGCCGTGCGTTCCTTTTGCAAGGCAAACATGCAGTCCGCAAGAGGCTGTCGCAAAGGAACGATTTTCTCAAACAGCTGAATCTAAGAAAGAAATACTTACTTGCAGGTAAGTATGATAGATGACAAAAGGAGCGGAGGGGGCTAGAAGCGGAAGGAGTTGCTGCAAAGTCTTCAAAGGATCGGCGTTTAAAGCCCCGACTATCAGACTGCATAGATAAGGACGAACACATTACGCGTTGTAAGAGCACGAAAACGGCAGAGAAAGATAGAAAACCTTACCTCGAGAATCCAGTTTTCACCCAATCAGAAACGTCTTCGTTCGATGGTTGCTGTATCAGTCGTTGCTTTGTTGGATTCGTAGAGACCGGTTCCAAGTTCTCGGAGATCTGGGACACGCTTGTTTGTGAGGCCTCGGTCACAGCCTTTTCCGGTTGCACGTCCATCGATGGGTTGCTTTGCAGTGGTTTGCCTGTGCCTGAATCATCTTCCATGTCTTTCTCCTGTTCTGCCTCGGTAACAGCCTTTTCCGGTTGCACATCCATCGGTTGCTCGCTTTGCGGGAGTTTGCCTGTGCCTGAATCATCTTCCATGTTTTTCTCCTGTTCTACGACAAGAGGTGCTGGCTCTCCGTTTTGTAAACCAGAATTGTAGCTTTCTAGAAGCGTAGAAAGCCGAACTCGAAATATCCTACACCATCCCAGTCACTATATGAAGTGTATTGGAAATAACCATTTACCTACTAGATGTTGCGGAGTCAAAGTTAAAGAGGCCCACAATGTCCAGAGATGGAGCTTTTGGAGTATAGTAGACACTACAAACCGTGCCAAAGCCTGAAGTGAAAGGATAAAGGTTTCACATCTTTTAAAGAAACAAATCAACTTACCGCTCAAACGTTCTGCGACTGCAGCCGTCAAGAGTCCTCCGACCATATCTGAGACCAAAACGTTGGACATCTCGCCTACATTGGCTAATGACAAGATCATTGACAAACTATCAACTCTTATAAACCTGCAACAAGTAGAAGAAAAGTCACAACAAATGAAAACTTCTATCGTTTAGTTTACCCGATCTTCGCTGGAGTTTTAGAAAAATATGCCTCACAAACACTGGAAAAAATGAAGAAAAACGTTTAGTCCCACGCCAACGTCGAAACTAGAAACAGATTCAACCTTTTAGCAGTAGGACACCTGATTATGACCCGAGGAGCGTACTTTTTCTGCTTTTTCCGCTTGTACTTCTCCTGCAAAAGTAAAAGAGTAAATAGGTTGTAGTTGAGCTTGGCTAAAATGGAAGAAAAACCTGTGAGAAAGTAGTCTTTGACTCAAACGACGCGCTATTTGCAATCAACGCATTCACAATCTCTTGTCCGGAGGAGCCTTCTCTACAAAGCCCGTGATCTTAGAAGATAAAAAAGAAGATGAAAAGATAGAACCTTTTCATGCTATGGATCTCCTCGGCCGAGAGTGTCTGCGCAGTGTTATCATCGATGAGGTTCCTGTTATCCTTCGTTGCAGCATTTTCTTCTTCCTCCTCTTCCTCTTCGCCAGCGTTATTGTCCTCTGCAACAATACCAAATTTTCAGACCAGCGATCCCAAACCTTCCCATCACCAGCGCGAGACGATCGTTCCAGCGACGAGGACTTGGGCTCGAATTGCGATCCAAACGGGCATCCAATGACCGGCGCAAGAGAATACTTGGCCTTGCCAAGCTTGACAGTGCTGAAAGAAGGGAAGAAATCTTCGATATTGCAAGAAATACACAAGGATTTCACGCTTACGCGGCCGGGGTAAGACGCGAGAACACGAAATGCTCGCCATTGTTGATGTCGAGCAGCACGCACGATCCCGCCTTCACGACTTCCATAGAACCCTAAACCCAAACTTTAGGGCTATGATGCGAGCTAGGGCATATTTTATTTCCTTTAAATCTCAGCTAACAGTCAAAAAAAGTCAAGCTACTTACTTAGGTTTTCGTACCTCACAGTGTTTACCGTACGGTTGTATTTTAGTGGCTGAGGGCGTGAGGGCGCGAGGGCGCGAGGCGCGCTTCTCGATCCAGGTAGGGATCCCGATCCACGCAGTATCTCACCTCAATCTCAATGCAGATCTTTGCTCGCAGCGCCTACAATGCGGATTGTGGACAAGATCAAGGATGCGCAGCGGGAGAATCGGACGATCTTCTCCTTCGAGTACTTCCCGCCCAAGACCGATGAGGGCGTCGAGAATCTGTTCGAGCGGATGGACCGGATGGTGATGCACCAGCCTGCATTCTGCGACATTACATGGGGCGCCGGTGGCTCCACCTCGGATTTAACTCTGGAGATCGTCAACAAGATGCAAAACATGGTAAGATCTTTTTTCGGTTGCCACAATTTTCTGTTTTCCTTATTTCTTCTTCCAGATCTGTGTGGAATCCATGATGCACTTGACTTGCACAAACATGCCAGTGAGTAAACTTGACTTTGCTCTTGGGAATGTGAAAGCCAATGGCGTCCAAAACATTCTGGCTCTGCGTGGAGATCCTCCGCATGGCCAGGACAAGTTCGTTCAAGTGGAGGATGGATTCTCTTGCGCTCTTGATCTGGTTAGCATTTGTTTTTCTTCTTCGTCCTGCTTTTCTCGGGAATGGAATGATTCAAGCTTTGTATTTTTGCAGGTGAAACACATACGCAAAAAATATGGTGGCTATTTTGGCATCACTGTTGCTGGATATCCTGGTTAGTATTGCTGTTGCTTGCTAGTTTTCCGTTGTGCTTACACGGTTTCATCATTTAGAGGCTCATCCCGACGTGATTTCTGGTGATGCTGCAACTCAAGAAGCATACGAGAAGGATCTCGCTTACCTCAAGGAAAAGGTAAGATCATGAAGAGTGATTTGTACGTGATGAAGAATTCTTTGTCCACAGGTGGATGCTGGAGGTGATTTTATAATCACGCAGCTCTTTTATGACACAGACTTGTTTCTTCGGTTCGTTAACGACTGTCGTGAGATTGGAATCACTTGTCCTATCGTCCCGGGGATAATGCCGATCAACAATTATAAGGGGTTTCTTAGAATGACTGGGTTCTGCAAGACAAAAGTAAGTTTAAAGCATAACAGATTGGAGAAAACTTTACTTTGAGTTGGATATGACAGATTCCTGCAGACATCACCGCCGCTTTGGAGCCGATCAAAGATAACGACGAAGCAGTGAGATCTTTCGGCGTCCATCTTGGGACAGAGATGTGCAAAAAGATTTTGGCTTCGGGGATCAATGCAGTACATTTGTACACGCTGAATATGGAGAAGTCTGCCATTGCAATTCTTCAAGTAACTTTGCAACTTCGCGACATCTGTTTTTTTTTTTTTTCTAACATTTTATGTTTTATATTTTTCGACAGAACCTCGGACTGATCGACATAAGCCAAGTAAGACGATCACTTCCCTGGAGGCCTCCAACAAATGTAAGGCGAACAAGGGAAGATGTCCGACCAATTTTTTGGTAAGCTTTGGAAGTTTACTTGTCAAAAGAGAGCTCTTATTTTCCTTGGCAGGGCCAATCGTCCCAAGAGCTACATTTCACGAACAACTGCTTGGGACCAGTATCCAAGTGGTCGATGGGGCGACTCTCGCAGCCCTGCTTACGGTGCATTGACAGACTATCAGGTAGAGGAAGTTATGTGTTTTGTGAGCTTGTAATAGAGCGGTTTTTTTTTTCAGTTTTTGAGACGACGCTCCCGGAACAAGAAGATTCAAGAGGAGTGGGTTGTTCCTCTGAGTTCCGTCGAAGATATTGCAGAGGTAATTCACATTCGTTATTCCAACTTTCTTCTGAATCGTTATGTTTTCACTGGACCAGAAATTTGCCAACTATTGTGCTGGAAAACTAAAGAGCTTTCCCTGGTCCGAGCTGGAAGGTCTCCAGTTAGAGACCAAGAAAATCAACAGCGAGCTCGTAAAGATTAACAAAGACGGCTTTTTGACAATCAACAGCCAGCCTGCTGTCAATGGCGAAAAATCGGACTCTCCTGCTGTTGGTAAGCTCGACAAGCCTTTGAATTTCTAAAACTAAAGACGTGTTTTTGTACAGGTTGGGGAGGCCCTGGAGGATACGTCTATCAGAAGGCCTACGTCGAATTCTTTTGCTCTCCAGAGAAGCTGGAGAAGCTCATTCGAAAAGCCGAAGAGTTTCCTTCGCTCACCTACATCGCAGTGAATTCCGTGGGAGAAACAAAGTCGAACGTCGGGCCGGGAGACGTGAATGCAGTCACTTGGGGAGTCTTTCCTGCCAAGGAAGTGATCCAGCCGACGGTGGTGGATCCGATAAGCTTCATGTCTTGGAAGGACGAAGCCTTCCAAGGCTGGGAAGACGAATGGGCCTCGTTGTACAAAGCCAAAGACGATCCAGCAAAGAAAATCCTTCTCGAGGTAATCAAGCATTCGAAGCTCTCTCTCTAAAGTTCTAAAGCTTTTTGCGTCCTTGCTCCAGATCAAGGAGAGCTACTATCTAGTAAGCTTGGTGGACAACGATTACATTGGTGGTGATCTATTCGCGTTCTTCAGTGGCATCTAAAAGTTTTTGCTACTACAGCGATAATTCTTTGACAGAAAAATCATAAGCTTGTGTGAGCTCTTTGACCGTTGATGCAAACCAGATAAGATGCCATCCTGGCCATTGGATCATTTACGTGCCCTAATTTATGATTTTGGGCCAGATATTTTCCCTTACATGGCCATTTGTCGCCGTCGATGGCCACTAGCGGACGGCCCAGATACCGCCACGTCTGCATGACCCCGACGCCTTAAAGCCCTGCTTATCCCCTAGAAGGCATTTTGTTCTTCCCTCTTGGTAGAGGGCGCCAAGGGTTTTGAGGCGCTCGCGCGACGCCGGCGACGATTCCACTGCGAAGGTAAGAAGGATTGTGGAAGGATTTAGATGCATTGTGTAGCTGGAGGCCGGATTGGAAAATGCGAGCCTGATTTTGGTGTTGTTCCTGTTCTAGAGAGGAAAAGAGCTATGGCGGCCTCGTGTATTTCGCTCTCGTCTACAGCCATTGGCGGTGCCGCGGCGCTGGCGGCGCCTCCCAGAGCCATGGCGCTGTGCATCGCTGGGGTTTCGGTGCCGTCGAGGCCCCTTTCTCTCTCGCTGGGCGAGACCTTCCATCTCGGTGCCGTACTATCCAGGAGAAGACCCCTAGAATTTGTGGCCAAGTCGTATGGTGGGTACGGAGCCGAGTCGATTGACAAGGAGGATTGGGCACCACCTCCGCCCAATCTCAGTGACTTGCCCCCGGAGCCATCGGAGCCAGTGGACAAGGAGTTCGTGGTGCCAGAGCCCGACGAGAGGGACTTTGGGAGCTTTCGCAGCGAGCCAGCGCCCAACACCAAGCTCTACGTCGGCAACATTGCATGGAACGTCGATAGCAAGATGCTGGCAGACTGCTTCAATGGCGTGGGCATCACAGAACTGGAAGAAGTCAATGTGAGTACTCTTTTCACTGTTCCTTCCATCGTTTTCGTTCAACTTAGTTGCTAAGATCTTTCTTTCTCTTGTGCTTTGTAGGTGATGTATGATCGGATGCTTGGAAAGAGTCGCGGTTTTGCCTTCGTCACTCTCTCCACGGAGGATGCTGCGAAGACTGCCATCGAGAAACTTGATGGTCATGTAAGCGCTTATCATTGCATCTCAGTTAGAGCAACTGCGTTATCCTTCTTCCAGGAACTCGAGGGGCGGCCTTTGAGAGTAAACTACCCGCAAGTTCCCCGAGGAGGCGGAGGCTTTGGCGGTGGCTTTGGGACCAGACCGAGCATCCCAGCGAACCCGGCCAAGTGCTTCGTCGCCAACATCCCGTGGTCCGTGGACGACCAAGGCCTGCAAGAGTTTTTCAGCTCGCACGGAACGGTGGTAGACTGCCGGATTCTAACCGATGCCGAGAGCGGGAGGTCACGGGGGATTGGGTTCGTCACTTTTGCCACCCCAGACGAGGCCAACAACGCCATCAGCGCTTTGGATGGAGCAGTAAGTTCGATCGATCTTTCCTTTGGTTTGTGTGTTCTCTTGGCTCACTCGTTTTGCTCCAGGAATTGGGAGGTAGATCGATTCGCGTGGCTTTGGCGACTGGAAGGCAATGAGCGACGATCACAACCAGCTGACAATGAAGGAAAGATGGAATGGCGCATTTCCATGCAAGAGGAATGGATCGAGTTTTAGTGAGAAAGTGTCTTAGAGAAAGAGCATGTCTACATTGCTATGATGGTTTGTAGATTTTTTTGGGATCAAAAACAGTCGCAAATGGTTTTCGGTTAATCAAGCGTAAGCTTTAAAGGTGATGAAATAACTAATAAAAAATATAAATTAAAATTATTACGATGCGTTAAAGTTTTTCGCTAGAAGGAGGGCTCGAACCTCCGACCTTGTGGTTAACAGCCACACGCTCTGACCAACTGAGCTACTCCAGCACATTTGAACAAGCGTGAATGGCTATGGAAAAAGAAGAAGTAGGGCGCATTGTTGGTTATGGCGACAAACTCTCGCCATGCTCGCTCCATCATCTTCCCTGTAGCATCGCGCACAACGGGCCAGCTAATGTCTCGGCGTATTTCGGCAGCAAGAGCACTGGTATGGTGGATTGCCTGGAAATTTTGCTTTCGGCTAATGCAAAGAAATGGCGAGGAAAGGCGCGAAGGCGGATGGAATGGAGATCCAGGAAGCAGCATTTCGGGGCAGGAGGCTGCTGGGATCGACGCTGCCGCTGCCGCAAAACCACCGAGGTTTGAGCAACCAGAATCAAAAGTTCTCGGATTTCTTTTCCCTGTTAATGTTCTTTCTATGTAGGATTTGTTCTTGAGAAAGCTCCAAGCAACCCTGATGATCCAGACGAGTGGGTTGTGAGATCGGAGTTTCGCGAGATCACGTACTGGAACCACGATACCATGCCATCGTTTTGCGATTCTCTGCCTCGCTGCATCGATTGGCTCAACATTTCTGCGTCGGTAAAGTAAATTATCGCTCCTTTCTTCCCGTCTCATTGTTTCTTTGCAGATCCACAAGCCCGTCACCGCTGATCAAGTTGCGAGTGTTCTTCCAATCGAAGAAGGTAACCATTTTTTTTTTCTCGCGAAGTTTCCCGTACGATCAATCACTTCCTTTCCAGAAGCGATGGCTGGCAAAAGAAAATCCGAAGTCTAGTAGCGCAGCATAAAAAATCTTCTTCGTTTCATCGTTCTTTCAATCACCATGTCATGCCAGGAACTCATCACAAGTTCTTTCTTAGAGATAGATCCCTGGAACGGCCCACGAGGATGAATCAAACGTCAGGATTTTCAAAGATCAATCGCGAAACAATCATCGTCCGTGGTATATATATATACACACTTCCACAACCACGACGCGAGAGAAGAATGTGTCTCACGAAACTTTCATCGTCACCTTCATCCACTCGTAGACGAAGTAGCTCAAGGCCGCCGACGGAAGAACCTGGAGAACGCAACACATGAGCAAAAGAGAAATCAAAGAGCTCCCAAACCTGGAGTGTGCTGGGAAATATTCCAGCGTAGAGAGCTCCAACACCACCCCGATTCACCAGCCCCTGGATCGTTGGCATCAAACCGAGCCTGCTCGCTGCGCTTTGCAACTGGAGATGCCTCCTCACGACTTCCAGGGGATAAGTCATCGTCTCGGCACAAGCACCAGCGATGGCACCGTAGAGCAGCGTTCTCAAAGGCCCGAGCTCCATCTGGTCACTCCCTTTGCTGCCACTCATCCTCCTTCGCTGCTCTTCCTGGCCAGCAGGAGACGCAAGATAGTTTGTCTTGAGGATGTCGTAGACACCGTAGAACACCGCACCAGCCGGGGCCATGCTCACGATCGCCGGCACAATCCCAGCGTAGAGGGAAGTGAAGCCTTGGCTGGTGATTATGTGGCGGAAGCAGCCGGAGATCCCTCCTAGTGCGTCGCCTCCCTGAGCAACAAGTCTTGTTCGAATCTGGAAGAAAGACCGATCAACTCAATCCAATAAAAAACTAGACTTCGAGCGAGAAGAACTTACAGTGTCCATTGGGAAGCAGACTATGGTGGCAAAGATCCCGGCAGCGGCCCCGGCCGCCAACTTCTCAAGTGGCGTCACGTCTTTTCTCCCAGTCACGGTCGTGATTCTCTTGCGAATCGTGTCGTACGCATAGAAGTTGATGGACTTGAAGGGAGCCGTCCGGATGAGGTTGACGAGGTTGCCCTTCCAGAAGCCTTGGACTCCCTCTGACGCAAGAATCGTCCTCACCACATCCATCGCATCAGACGTGGCTCCACGTACGATGTACTCGAGCTTTAGCCTCTCAAGTGGCGCCACGAGAGTTCTAGAAGACCAACAAAGAATCGCGAAGTTAGAAAGATCCAAGTAGGAAAACTATAAGGAAAACTATGGAGAAAAGAGGAGGAAAACCATACCTGGAGATACACGCTGACAAGGCTCCGGCCAAGAGATGTTTGGACGTCTTCAAAGACCCGGCCTTCAAAGACTGGGAGTAATCGCCGCTGGAACTTCTCTTCTCTTGCCGCTGGGTGGTGGTGGCGATGGAGATGGATTCATCCGCGCTGTGCTCCAAGTATTCCAGAGAGTTTTCCAGAGATCTTTCCTGCGCTTGATGAGCGTTGCTCCTCCTGCCAAGCTTGCTGCTCCCGTGGATAGCAAACCCCAATGCCGATGACCACGCGCTGGAATTCGCCCTGCTCGAGAGCTGGCGCTTGCCGGATTCCGCTATGGACACCGATGCCAGGCAGTAGCTGGCGGAGCTGGCGGGCATGGATGGAAGCAGGGACGAGAGCGATGACGCGGAGAATGGCGATGGCAGGAAGCATTGGAGCGGATCGCAATCGCGGCCGGGGAGGAAGCATCGCCACGACGGATCGTCGGCCCCGCTCAGCGTGATGAATGCGAGCTCGGACGATGCAAAGATCGATGCCGATCGGCTTCTGGCGCAAGAATCTACATCGTAGCCCATCGAAATATTGCCCGCCCGGCCTCTTGGGGTGGATCACAGCAGAGATCGAGGGAATGCTGCCGAGACCCAAGGAAGAACCCTAAAGATCATACCCGAGGAGCGCCGCGCGGAGAGAAGAAGGATCTAAAGTCTGCCAAGACCAGCCGCCACGACCGACGCCATCGCGATCGCCTTTCCCCATTCTCTGCCCGCGTGGGTTCTTCGCATATGAAACACATGGGATATCATCGCCGGGCCCTCCTTGCCCTAACGGCATATCCCACGCACGGCATATTCCGCTAGCGCGCAAAAGTGATATAATTTTCATTAGTGATGGCGGGCCAAGAACCCTAGCGCGAGGACGCCGTCGCGACAGCGATGGATGATTTTCGCGTGCCTGGCGCTGGCGCGGACAATGCCGCCTCGGATCCAAGCAACTGGCGCTGCTGATTTGAGGTATGTTGCTCTTGCCACATCTCTTGTCGCGTTGCAAGGCTGCGATGCAGTGATTTCGCTCTCGAATTCCTGGCTGATAGCATGGGGAGGGGGAAAGAGACCGCTGCCTGGTCAGTCCGTCGTGTGTTTTCTTTCTTCCCTCTTGTTTGACTCTTCCTCTCTTGTGCGTCCTTTTCCTTGCCTGCCAAACTTCCAGTTGCGAGGCTCTGAGAGACATGATTCCATGGGCAGCGCCAACCAGATACGAATTAATCAATCCCTTCTCTGCCGATGCCGCCGCCACAGCAGGAGCTGACTTGGGCCACCTCGGCGGGATGTGTCCGCATCCATGGAGGAGAGAAAGGATTAAGAAATGCAGGCATGCCAATCAACCCCCCGGTCTGGCAGCAGCGACCAAGCGCGAGGAAAAGAAAAATTTATGGCTGCCAACCAAGCAAGCGTCAAACAAGAGGTTTTTTTTTTTGCTTTTGTTCTTGGTGTTCTTTTCGAGCTCTAAGTTTCTTGTTTCTTGTTTCTACTTACTTTCCTTCGTCTTGTCTCTCTGTTCACAGCTTCTCGGATCCAGGAGAGAGAGAGAATGGCGCTTCCTTTTCTCGGCCTTTTTATATATATTGTCTACGGGCTACGTATGACTCTCCTCCAGCAAATTGGTCCACCCTGTGCTGAAGCCAAAAGGGAAAACAATTGCTATAGCATATGGCAGGCATGTTGTGGCTCGGCTCCTACAGGGATTTAAATACTCGCAGCCCCAGCTTCTTTATTGGACGGACAAGAGGTGCGTGGTTTGTATGGCACTAGAGGCAGCGATGTGGTTCCTTTTTGTTGTTTTACGAAGAGGTCTCAGTCTCTCTTGCTTTTCTTTTGCAGGAGAGGGGACGGGCGGAGCCTTCTTTCCGCATAGATACGCGCAACTTTCAATAACTTGGTGAGTGCTACAGCTCTGTTCTTGACCAGGAAGAAGCTAAGTTAGCTCCTGCTTCTTGCATAGCCTTTAAGCATTTTTTTTTTCTCCATTCCATTATCCGTGTGGACTGCAACAGTCTTTTGGTTTGCTTGCGAGGTACCAGGGGCAGGGAGCTATATATTGTGCTCTAGGCGCGGATATGATAATGGCCTAGTCCAGCGTATTGTGCGAGTTTCGGCTGGTGCCGCTCAATGGGCATGCCTTCCAATCCTGGTACACACTGTGGGTCTTGGGCAACTCTTCATGTGCTCGGGGATTAAACAAGCGCTTAACAAACGCCGAAAAGTTGACAATGACGAGGAAGGAACAACGACTGGTAATCTTGCGGTACTAGCGCCATCTGCGACCGGGAATTCATATCTGAGGAGCTGGGAACTAGCTGTTACCGCAACAGTTTCTCCCTCTTTATAAGGCAACCCGTGCTGTCTTCTCCACTTTGCTCGGGTCGGGTTATGGAAGAAGCAGCAGCAGCAGCAGCAGCAGCAGGAGCAGCTCAAAGGCAATCCTCTCTCAAAGCTCGTCGATCAGTGAAGCCCAGGAACAGTAGCAGCAGCAAGAAAAGCGGAAGAAGGAACGTCCCGCTAAGTACCTGTGATTTGGCAATCCCGAATGTGTACGCCATGGCAATCTACGCATTCAAGGCACCCACCAGGCCTGGTGTGGTTGAGGAGCTGGAAAGGGGTCTGGCAGAGGCTTTGGACGAGTATCCGGAATGGGCAGGCAGGCTGTGCAAGGACTCTTCGTCCTCATCTTCATCATCATCGTCTTCTTGCTCCTCTGGTTTGAGCGGCAGCGTCGGCTCTAGCAAGGTGGTTATTGATCTCAATGATGACGGGGTTGCACTAATGGAAGCAAGCATGGACTGCTGTCTCCAGGATTTGATGCCTTTTAACCCATGTCCCCTGCTTTTCCAGCTGGTTCCAGCTACGAAATCTGTTGAAGAACTGCTCCTTGTCCAGGTACTAGCATAGATTCTCTGTCTGCTGTTTTAGCTTACCGCTTCTAGACTAATGCTTCTTGCTTGCTGCTCAATGCTTGCTTGCTTGCTTGCTTGCTTGCTTTCTTGCTTGCTTGATTGATTGATTGAGGAAAAGAATGCATCAAAAGAATGCATCAGAGCTGCATTTGATCTTTTGTTTTCTCTCATCGAAGTTGCAAAGTTTTTCTTTTTCTTTTCTCTGGCTGTTGGTTATCTCTGACGCTTGTGTTTCCTCTGTTTTCTTTTTTTGTTTCCAGGTGACCAGCTTCAAATGTGGTGGCATAGTTCTCGGCGTTGCCTGGCACCACCGTCTCGCAGATGGACAGGCTTTCTTCAGCTTCATGGACAACTGGTCTCGGCTCACCCGAGGCGCTCCACTGGCTTGCAGCCCGTTTCGCGATAGAAGTGCATTAAATGCCGGGGAAACTGCTCAGCCGCTCCAGGATGACTACTTGCTGCTGTCGCCTCCTCAGGTTCCAGCGCCGGCTCCGGACCCAGGTGCTGCCAAAACTCCTCCTCTCGCGGCGAGGAAGTTCCACTTTAGCATGGATTTGCTCCAGAGGATCAAGAGAAGAGCCGGGGGAGACAGCTCTACGGACGAGCCGGCCTCCTCCACCACCAGAGGCGTCACAACTTTCGAGAGCCTGACCGCTCACTTGTGGCGGTGCATCACCAAAGCCCGCGGCATCACCGGCGACACCAAGACGCAGATAATGATCCCCATGAACGGGAGAAGCCGGCTGGAGCCGGCCATCCCCGAGAGCTACTTCGGCAACGCGACTTTCATGCCGTCGTCCGGGACCGAGGCCGGGGAGCTGACGAGCCGGCCACTGTGCTACGCAGCGCAGCTCGTCCACGGCGCCATCGTCAAGGCCGACAGTAGCTACTTGCGCAGCGCGCTGGAACTTATGGAGCTCCAGAACAGGATGATGAAAGACGAGGAGGTGGCGGAGGTGGTCGTCCCTCCCAGCATGTCTCCTCACGTCGTGGTGACGAGCTGGGTGAGGTTCCCGCTCTACGACGTGGATTTCGGCTGGGGAACGCCGCTCTACGTCGGCAACGTACTGGATCTGTACGAGGGGATCATGATCTTACTGCCATCGCACACGCAGGACGGGAGCATCGATGCGGTGGTGGCTCTTTTCGAGCCGGAGATCGAGAAGCTCCAGGAATTGTGCTATCGTGATGATCTTCTCTAGCGGCATTCTCGGCGGAGCGAGGGAAGGACGAAGAGCTCCAGCCCAACGAAGAATCGTGCCACCAGCGATCGAAGAAGAAAGAAGAAGGAATCAAAAACGCTTTGGCTTTGTATACTAAACTTTTGTTCTTTCGAATGAAGCAGGGCCGTCGATGCAGTGCCATCGGGACCGCACGTTTCTAAGTTTGTTTTGAATCTGGCATATTCGTGCGCATCTCTTCGCGGGGCAGAATATAGTTTAAAAATTCTCTAAATTTATATATTCGGGATATTCGTCCGCAACTTGAATGTTTATCAGGACCGTCCGTTTTAAAATGTCTAAAGCTTTTTTTAAAATTTAGGATATTCGTTCGCATGCTCGCGGAGCCGTCGGTGTTGCTGCATCGTGGCCGTGCATTTGAAAATTTTGGACTAGGGCTTTTGGTGCTCTGTTTCTAGGGTTCTTGCGTGACAGCACGATCGTGGTCGTGGCAGGATGGAATAGTTTTGGCGGGCCATGGAAGCGTTTCTAGGGATAGATTATCCTTGTCCGTAAGCTGGTACGATGGCCGGAGCGTGCCCGCACGTCGGCGCGCAACAAAAGCTTGGCGATTCTCGTCGGGTTTTGTTCTTTTGGTGGCGGCAACGATGAACGAAGCTCGGCATCGCCAGAGCGGGTACGTGGTTGAATTGAGCGAGATTTTGTTCTTGAGAGTATTCTTGATAGATTATAGCCTTGATCCAGGGACGAACTTCATGAATTTCTCTCGGGTTCGAGAGACGAGAAGAGGCACCAAAGAAAAAAGGTGGGATGCCACGAGAAGATTGGACCGAAGGCGCAGCTACTTTCGAGCGCATTCTTGTTTGCGTTCCTCGTTTTGCTGTTTCTAGGTACGTTCTTCAACAGAAAGATCGTTCTGGACACTCCATTGCCGAGGTACTTTACAAACTCAAACTGAAATGATGAAAGATTGATTGATCCACAGGCACGGGGCGCACAAGAAGCTCATCTCGTCGGAAGATGAGCAGCGCACGAAGCTTGTGCCGAGCAGCGACAAACAAGTGCTCAAATTCCTCCAAGGGTCTCCGGAGATTGATTCGATCAAGTTGCAGAACAACGGGTTCTTGAGGATCGGGCTGGTGAATTTTCCAAAGCCGGATGTTGCAAAGTGGAAGGCTCTTGGCGGAGGCCGAAAGCCGGTACTTTTTAGCATCGACAAAAAGAGAGATTTTTCCTGGTCGGCTTTTTTCCCCGAGGCCATCGACAGAGACGAAGAAGTCCAGAACAGAGAGTGCCCGGACATGCCACTGCCATCGGTTCCAGAAGATCTCAAGCTCGACTTTGTTGTGGCGAGAATACCGTGTGGCGAATCCAACTTCAGAGACATCGACCGCTTGCAGGCTGCGGTTTCTGCTGCTCATATTTCTCTCAAAACTGGCGCCTCACACATCATTGGAGTAAGCGATTGTATGCTTGATCCAAACGTTTTTAAGTGCAAGGAGCTTGTCCGGCAAGAGAAAGGTGTTGGGCTTTACAAACTCGATCTGGAAAGGATTGGAAAGCTAATGAGCTTACCAGTTGGCTCTTGCAAGACTGTTCAAGTTCCAACGCTGACAAGTAAGCAAGCTTTATTTGTTACTCTTAATTTTGTGATTCTGATTCTCTCGTCTTTGTTTTTAACTCAGGTGAGCATACTGTTTCTCGAGAAGCTTATGCGACCATCCTCCATTCCGTCAAGTCTTACGTCTGTGGAGCGGTGCTTCTCGCTCACAGCATCCGAAAGAGTGGCTCGACTCGAGATTTAATTCTGGTTATAGACCAACACATAAATCTCGAAGACAGGCAGGGGTTAGAAGCTGCTGGCTGGAAAATCCATCACATTGAAAGGATCAGGAACCCGAGAGCTCGTCCAGACGCTTACAACGAGTGGAACTACAGCAAGTTCCGGCTATGGCAGCTGACGCAGTATGACAAAGTCGTGTTCATAGACGCGGACGTGGTGGTGACGAGAAACATGGACTTCCTCTTCGACTTACCGGAGCTGTCCGCGGCCCGCAACCACAAGAGCGTTTTCAACTCCGGAGTGATGGTGATAGAGCCGTCCAACTGCACTTTCAACTTGTTGGTGGACGGGATCTCTCGGATCAAGTCGTACAACGGCGGGGACCAAGGCTACCTGAACGAGATCTTTACGTGGTGGCACAGGCTTCCCAGGAGCATGAACTTTCTCAAGCACTTTGACGACGATGCCGAAGAGAACGAGTACAAGATGGAGCTCTTTGCCGCCGAACCTCCGGTGCTGTACGCTGTGCATTTCCTGGGAAGAAAGCCGTGGCTCTGCGGGAGGGGCCCCGACTGTAACGCGAAGATCTCGTCACAGAGGATGTTTTCCAACGATTTCGTGCACTCCAAGTGGTGGAGCTGGCATGATGAAATGCCGGTGGAGCTACAGCGGCTGTGCCGGATCAATCCAAAGAGAAGATTGTCTCCACCGACTGTTCGTCAGGTTTGTTCTATATTTCTTTCATTTTGTAAACCTGAGAGCTCTGTTCGCAGGCACAAGCATCCAGCGAAAAGAGAAGATCAAGTTTCTCGAGATTTAAAAGGAAAACGCACCCGGTTACACAGTGAAGGTTCTTCCCTTTTAAATCCCTTTTTCTCCTCTCTCGCTCCAATTCAATTTTCGGAGCTCTAGAACAGTAGGATCATCACCAAGAGGGGTAAAACGTCCCTCTCTGTTTTTGACTCTATGTATTCTTTCTTTTTCCCCGAGTTCTTCTTCATTCTCTAGCGTGATCGAGGCGTAAGATCGAGGCGTTGGGACATCACTCCGTCAAAAGTTTCAAATTCGAAAAATGGAATATTCTGCCGCTGCCTCTCACAAGAACAAGCAGCTAAACGCTCGACAATTCTTTCAAGCTCTATCTTTGAGAGAAGTTTCTTTCATCCGTCGCAAGTCCTGGGTTCGTTTTTCTCGTTTTCTTTTGTCCTGTGTCAATCGATTTCCTGTTCCACCACCAGTCAATACTGTGTTTTTTAGTTTCAGTACTGCTCTTGGGGTCCTCGCTGTGGCCTTCCTTGGGGTCCCATCCGATTCTTCGGATGAACATGAGGCTGAGGTGGTGCAACTTATACCATCCAGCGAGACAACGAATTTAGTGCGACCAGGAGCTTGTACGAGAAGGTGATGAATGCCGAGGAGAAGAGCTTCGTTTCTACTTCCTCGAGTTGCTCATGGAGAACGCGAGAAGTGGGAACATTGAGGAGTTCATGTCCGAGATGGATGTTGTTAAATTTGAAACCGGGGCCTCGATCCTTCCATGGCCTCGTTGCTGCGCTCATGCAAATGAAGTCGAAGGCTACTCCCCTGTTTCTTCCTCTCTACTAGAGATAGTGAGATGGCTACTTAGCTTTTCTGAGGAAGGAAATCGCGTCGGGTGAGATGCCTTTACAATAGACTTTCGTTGCCGTCAGGGGACTGCTTGGACGTGCTGCACTTCGTGATCGAGCGTAGAAAATTCTCTGAGCTATTGAAAGTGCAAACCTGGATACTCGCACTGTTTGGGGTATGTATCTCATTCTTGCGGACTATGTAGAAAATTCCCTCTGCGCAGCATCCAGCACCATTCAACAACGAAAGAGATAACGAAGAATGAAAGCAAATGTATCTTCTTATCAATGCTGGATACTTGAACGAAGCAAATCACATTTTTATGAAAGGACATATTGGTGGTTAAGGAAAACTGCAAAAGGTATATATATAAGATCGTACTATAAGAATATTAGCCCGAGGCGTGCAGCGCCACGGCTCTGGGAGGCGCAGCCAATAGCTGTAGACGAGAGAGCGGAAATACACGACGCCGCCATAGCTCTCAGCAACAAAAGGGGACAAAATGATCCATTTCCTTTTAATAATATCCAATTATAGATTTCATGGTGTTTTAGTTGTGATCCTTTGTAATAGGTCACCAAACTCAATAATGTGATCAGTGAGCTGCAAGAAGGTAGCTGTAAACGTAAAGCCGAGGGTGGCAAACCGGGAAATGAGAGGATTAGCATGATCAATTGGCAAGGTCACAAGAATGGGTGAGAGTGGCAAACTTCATTGTGATCAGGAGGAGTGGCAAGGTCACAAGAACGAGCGAGAGTGGCAAACCGAGGATCAACACGATCAGGACAAATGGCAAGGTCACAAAAACGGGCAAAAGTGGCAAAACAGGGATCAGCAGGATCGGTTTGCCACTCTCGCCTGTTTTTGTGACCTTTCTGCTCCTTCTGATCACGCTTGGTTTGCCACTCTTGCCCATTTGCCACTCCTCCTGATTGTGCTAATCCTCCCATTTCTCGGTTTGCTGCTCTCGGTCTTGCACTTACAGCTGCCTCACTGCAACTCACTAATTGCATTGTCGAGTCTGGTGACCTATTATAAGGGAAAAAAGCGGATCGCAACTCAAATGCCATGAAATCTATAATTGGACATTACCTTGCACCCTGTCGTGACGAGATGCCACCTACGAAGCTCTTGGCACAGCTCCCCCACCTTAAGGCTCTTGAAGAGTTTGCTTGCTTTGAAGTGCTTGCAAGTGGAGAATTGGGCCACTGACTTGGAAGGTTTTGCTTTAGAATACAACGAGGTAAGTAGTTCTTGCCACAGTCTGATCTGTTTGTAATTTCCTCATTTTGTAATGCAGGATACTGCGCACAATGAGATGGAAGAGGGGCCATCCTCGGGTGGTGGTGGTAGTCAATCTCAGAGCCCGTCTGGGAAGACTCGACCAGAGTCCAATGACGACAACTCAGTTAGTGTATCAAACTATGTTTTCTCATTGTAGTTGTGTCCTAATTTTTCTGGCAGGACGCCTCTTCTCGTCAGGCCACTCAATGTGATTGACAACATGGAAGCAATTAGAACTGATATCAAGTTCAGAACACTAAAGTGCAAGGACTCTTCACTCAGTGTGAGGAAGAAGCTGTTCTGTGGCTATGCCCGAGTAGAGATATGAACATTTCCTCTGGATACTACGATTGGATGTACCTCCCTGTTTTTTGTGGTACAAAGTTTACATATGCTAAACTTGACATACATGCCATAATGAATGTTCAAAGCAACCAAATTGACTACAACTTGTACAAAGGTACTATTATACGATAGTATATTCTATGTTTTGCCAATGTTTTATGTTTAAAGAATCCTGCAAAAAAAGAGGTTTATGTCCTCTGAAGGAGGAAGTGTTAATGGCATGGTTGAACAATGATTTGCATGAACTCAAGCACTGGTGTGGTTTATCAAATAAGTAGTATTCCGAGAAAACATTTTTAATTAAAGATCTCTACATCAATGACGAGGTATGTTTTGTTATTCATTAGCTGCTACTTGCTAATCAGATGTTTGTAGTGGCATGATCTCCCAAAGGCCAACAACTTGAGCAATCGATCTTCACGAGCTTTCATTGAGGGCATGCTGCAGATCATCCTAGGTGACAAAGTGTTATATTGGTCACCAGATGACACAAGGAAAGCGTTTTTGAGGAGGCAAGAGTTTGAAAGATTAGCTTCCATCGTCAAAGGAACTCTGGTGGACGATCCACTGCAGTACATGAGGTTAGTAGCTTGTTTAATACTTTTATTTTCAGGCTAAAGCCTCTTGACGAGCTAAATCAGGTGGCCAGTGTTGTGCAGCAGGAAATTGAACGAAAAGAAGAGTTGGCCGCTAAAGTTCTCCAAAGATAAGTGGTGAGCTCGCAACATTCGATCGGTTCTAGGAGAGATTCTAAAGCTTTTGTCACAGGAACTGGGAGATACCCCCTTTTTTGACTTCGGTTCTCAATCCTCTTCTCCGCTCGAAGTTGCAAGCTGCCCAGGGTAGAGGTTCTGCCGTCAAGTCAGAGATAGGCATCCACGTACAAGCGATCGCCATCCATGGCCATCGTCCCAAGTTTTTTTCCCGAAGTTTTCTCTAGCGCTGTAAGCATCAGCTAGAAAAAGATCGCCTTGTAATGGAACAATGCGCCAAAAGTTTCAAATCTAAAATGTGGAATATTCTTATAGGGCTCCATTTGAACGGCGCAGGATAAAGGCGTAAAATCATGTTCTCGAAATTTCGGTTTTCCTTTCATCCTCCATTCCGTCATTGCTTCTCGCTCACTCACAGCGAGATTTAATTCTGGTTATAGACCCAAGCTGTGGAAGTACAGCAAGTTCCGGCTGTGGCAGCTCAAAGTGGTGAAGTGGTGTTTGTGGTGGTGACGAGAAACATGGACTTCCTCTGGAGCTGTCCGCGGCCCGCAAAACCACAAGAGCGCTTTTAACTCCGGAGTGTGGTGATAGAGCCATCCAACTGCACGTTTTTAACATGTTGGTCGACGGGATCTCTCGAATCAAGTCGTACAACGGCGGGGACCAAGGCTACCTGAACGAGATCTTTTCAACGATTTCGTGCACTCCAAGTGGTGGAGCTGGCATGATGAAATGCCGGAGGAGCTACCGAGGCTGTGCCGGGTCAATCCAAAGAGGAGATTGTCACCACCGACTACTGTTCATCAGGTTCGTTCCATATTTCTTTCATTTGTAAACCTGAGAACTCTGTTCGCAGGCACAAGCATTGAGAGAAAAGAGAAGATCAGATATCAAAAGACAACTCACTTTAACCGGCTACACAGTGATCAAAGGTTCTCTTCTTTTTATCGCTCCAATGCAACTATCTGGACCATCACCAAGAGGGGTCCCTCTCTTTTTTGACTCTAATTTCCTCGCAGTGTTGGTACTTCATTCTCTAGCGTTATATCTCTTTGATCGAATGATAGAAATCACGAATCAAAGAAAGATCGAGGCGTTGGAACATCTCCCTCGAATGATACTCCGATCGATGATAGAGAACCACCGGCAAAAGATTCCATTCTCCCCAAAAGAGGGCGCTAAAAGTTTCAAATTTGAAAAGTGGAATATTCTTATAGGGCTCCTTTTCCCGGCCATGGCACTTTCGCGTTTGGTGGCCTTTACGGCCCCATTCAAGCCCTAGCGCGGAGCTGGCATTTGTCGAGCAGCGCGGGGGTAGCTGCGGCATCGTCGTCGTCACAGCGCCATTGTTTTTCTAGGGTTTCCTGGCACGGCCGCTCGACGGCTATGTCGCGCAGGATGGGGCGTCGCCATCAGGTAGGCACGGGAAGCAAACAAAAGCAAGGAATAGTGATCATGTTCTCGAAATTTCGGTTTTTCTTTCATTGTTTCGCTCGATCGCGCACGCGTTGATCCGGTCGATGCCCTGGAAATCTTCATCTAATCGTTTGCTTGGCCCCACGGCAGCCATGGCGGCAGCCACAGCGACAGCGTTGCTTGCGTGTTTCAACGGGAACTTAGTCTTGGCAATCAAGGTAAGTGTGATCTCTCTACTATTTGACAAAGAATCGCTCGTCATCGTGGCTCACTAACTCTCTTCTTTTTGGATTTTAGGCTCGATGAATGCGTCAGAGTCGTCTTACTGTAGTAGCGTCACTCCAACTCTACCAGGTACTTCCACTTCTCGCCTCCAACTTTTTCTTCTTGGATCTTCCTTCTTCCTTCTTTTCTGTTGCTGTTTTTTACGTCGGTGAAGTCTCCTGTCGGTGTCACTCGTTTGTTCGATCGGTCCCTCATTTGCTGAAAAGAAAAAAAAAAGCATGGCTGGGAAAGGGGCAGCGGCCCGCATTGGCTGAAAGTCTCTTGGGTTATAAGGTTGGCAATTACTACTTGATTGATTCAATTCTAGAAGCTCGAGCGATTATCCTTTTGCATTTTTTCGGGATTCCTGAGATGAGGATTTCCAACACGGTGGCCGAGCCTCGGCATCGTCAGACTGGGTAGAGATTTTCGCTGCTTTCTCGGTCTCTTGCTCGCACAATTCTAGCTGACTGCGCGTCTTTAGTTTCAAGATCTTTGTTCTCTCAGCAGAGGCTGTCTCCAATTCATGTCATACTGATGATAGTGTTCTGTTCTTTCGTTCAGGGAGGGTGACGATCTTTCGCCAACCAATTTGCTGTCGAATTGGGATGAGAAGAAAGTTCGAAAGGATGCGGAGAAGAAGAAACTTGAGGAATCTGGGTCATTCAGCTACACATTCCTGGAACGGAAGAGGAACAAGGCCTTCACAGCTCTGGTATTTGCCGCAGCCTCCCTAATTACATTGCTGCTGCTCACAACTTCTCAGAGCGATGTTGTTCTACAAAACTTGAGGTAATTGGTTCCTTTCTTTCGCCAAGGATCTCCTCTCTAAATCGCTGGACCGGCATTTCCTTTTTTCGTCCAGATCCCAGGATAGAAGACAGTTGGATCAAAGGCCGTATCCGACTTGCAATGAGGATGGTCTCTTGAGATGGCTGCAGTCGTCCAAGGAGATCCGAGCGTTGAAGCGGACTAAAGAAGCATTGCAAGTTGGTCTGGTTAATTTCAAAAAGCCCGAGTCTATCAAGTGGGAGCTCTTCAGTGGCGGGGACGAGAGCCCACACGTATTCAAGTTCAAGACGGTAAAGAAGAGGCTCGACTGGTCCGCTTTTTTCCCAGAGGACATAGACGAAAATGATCCAACGAACTCGAGCTGTCCGAACATGCCGATGCCGTCCGTGCCGAACAACCTGACTCTGGATCTTGTCGTCGCCAGCATTCCGTGCGACTCGCCGAGCAACGACTGGGCCAGGAATGTGAATTGCTTGCAAGCTTTTCTCGCAGCAGCCAAGGTGGCAGCTAACACGGGGACAGATTTCGTCTACGTCGCCTTGTGTGGGAAATGTAGGCCGATCCCAAACCTCTTTGTCTGCCAGGAACTCATCGAACATCAAGACGGTTACTGGCTATACAAGCTTAATCTTAAAAGAGTCCGGGGACTGCTCGCGCTACCAGTCGGATCGTGCCAGTTAGCGATGCCACCAAAAGCCAAAGGTAGACCTCCGTTTTCTCTCCACAGCAACTTAAGCTCTTTTTGTGCGTGATGTGATGATCACAGTGGAGCACGTCGAGTCGCGGGAGGCGTACGCAACGATCCTTCACTCGGCCCAATCGTACGTATGCGGTGCTATCAGTTTGGCTCACAGCATTAGATCGACCGGCTCGACTCGGGACTTAGTTCTTCTCGTGGACGAGAGCATTAGACCGGATCAGAGACAGGGGCTGGAGCTGGCAGGCTGGAAAGTTTTCACCATCCAGAGGATCAGGAACCCAAAGGCCGAGCCTTCGTCCTACAACGAGTGGAACTACAGCAAGTTCCGGCTCTGGCAGCTCACGCAGTACGACAAGATCATCTACATCGACGCCGACATTGTTCTCCTCCGCAACCTCGACTTCCTGTTCGACTTGCCCGAGATCACCGCGACGAGAAACGACCAGAGCCTGTTCAACTCGGGGGTGATGGTGATCGAGCCTTGCAACTGTACGTTCGACTTCCTGGTTGACAACATCGGCAGCATCGATTCCTACAATGGTGGCGACCAGGGGTACCTGAACGAGATCTTCACCTGGTGGCACAGGCTCCCCGGGACCGTCAACTTTCTCAAGCACTTCGACAACAACACGGTGGAGAACCGGCGCAAGCTCCAGCTCTTCACGGCCGAGCCTCCGGTGCTGTACGCAATGCACTTCTTGGGAATCAAGCCGTGGCTGTGCTTCCGGGACTACGATTGCAACTGGAACCAGGACCAGCTCCACATCTTCGCGAGCGACCCCGTGCACGCGATGTGGTGGAAGATCCACGACACCATGCCGGCGGAGCTCCAGAAGTTTTGCGTGCTCCAGGGGACGCAGAAGTTCTTGCTCGAGTGGGACATTATCAAGGCGAAGAGGAAGCGCTACCCGGACGGGCACTGGAAGATCAAGATCGAGGACCCGAGGTGGCACGGAGTGAAATCGCAGAGCGTGAGAAAGCGGAGGAGATTGCTGGAAGATTGAAAAAAAACTGGAAGAACTCGTGGAGGGGAGGCGATAGACGATTAGAAGATTGTTTTCTCGTAACGCTGTAAATGAATGGAAAAAGAAAGAACGAAAGAACAACGCCCAAGTATTAAGAGAGAAGAGAAAGAAAGAGAGAGATCTAACCTAGGTGAGGGAAATGGGGGAGGAAGAGGGCATCGGCAAGGCGCTAGCTCCTGCGCAAGGGCGCATCACACTGCTCCAGTACCGCGATTGGAAGCAGCGCAAGGTAGACTCCCCTCTTCATTGGATCGAGCGATCGATCGATCGATTCTGCTTTGATTCCAGGATGCGGAGGCGGCGGCAGTGGCGGCGGAGCGATCGCGCAAGCGGCGCGAGGATATCGCCGCCGGGCGCGCGCGGATGAACGGGCGAGAGCTCTACGAGCGAGAGCCCTGGGTGTTTGACGACGGGGAATATGCCTGATTCGGGAATATACTGCGGATATCCTTCTCACGGAATATCCACATTTAAAATATCGTCACCGCCGTGCACGTACGGCACCGTCCTTTCTTTCAACGCTAGGGGCAGACGGGATTGAAATTTAGGGTTTGGCGCGAGCAGCAAGCCAATCGAGGGAGCGTAGCGCGAGCGCCGGGGTGCCAGGGAATGCGGTTGCGAGGTGAGTGGCGCGCGCGCTGCTGAGATTTCTGGTAGCGGGGGCAGCGCGGCCAGATTTGGATTTGGCGGAGATAAAATTCTCTTCCCTGGATTGCCAGTGCCGGCAGCTCTAGGTCTTGTTCATGAGAACCAGGGCGCAGGCCTTGCTGTCCGATGACGCAGAGGTGGAGCCGAGGAGGACAGGGACAGGCACAGGGAAATCCTCGTCGCCAGGGTTGATCAAGAAGATCAAGCTCAAGATCAGCAGCAATGGCCGGTATGGCACGCGCAGCGAGTCGCTGAGGGAACGGCAAGCGGCCGCCAAGAGGGAGGGGCTAAAGATCGTCCTCAAGAGAAAAGCTCCAGAAGCACAGGAGGCACTGGTGATCAAGAAGCACAAAAGGGGAATTCACAGGCAGCAGCGGCTCCATGGAGAAGAGAAGAGAGATGAGGAGGAGGAGGACGAGGAGGAAGAGCAGGAGCGAAGTACACCCGCGCCCGAGACCAAAGCTCCTCCCTCGGCTGTGAAAAGCAAAGCTAGTCCGGCCACCGAGAATGCGTCACCTTCTCGCGAGGAGACCAACAACACGGGTGGTGTTTTGGAGGAGGCCACGGCTGTGAAGGAGGAGGTGGCTGGATCGGCTGGGCGGTTTTGCTGCACCGTCAACACGGATATGGTGGCCGATCGCTCCGAAGCGAGCGTCTCGTCCGAGCCTTCGTGCTCGGCGGACTCCAAGAGCTCCAAGAAGCGTCACGCCGACGAGGAGCGGGCGATGGACGGACAAACTTTAGTTGCGGTGACGGCTACGCGGACGCCGTTGTTTGTGCCTGCGAAACGATCGCCGCTTCCGTTTCCTCTGCCGGCTGCAGTGCCTCCGGTCATCACCGCGACGCCTACAGCAGCTCCTCCGGCCGTGAGATCGGCGTTGCCAGCTCCGCCCGCCGTGCGGTCCGCGCTTCCGCTTCCCGGTGGAGACGAGACGGTGGATGCCGATGAAAAGGCAAGCTTTCCTCGTAGCTCTTCCTCTTTTTCTTCTTTTTTCCTTACCGCTCGTGCTGTTCAGGTGGTGTTTGACGAAGTTGACATCCACGGCTTCTCGTCGGCAATCACAGGCTCAGAAGTGCTACGGTTACGTCACGATGGCCTGGTCGCTCAATCCAGTGAAGAAGATGGCCTCTCGCTGCCGGAAGAGGAGATGCTGTCTCCAATGTTCTTCGGCAACCCATGGCACGACGATGGCTCCATGAGCTGCTTGCCGGAGATGAGAAAGAAAGGCGGCCCTGGTTCCCGTGCGATTTACCGGTGTAGCAGATGCTTGGCACCAAAGAAAGGACACAGGTGTCCGTTCGAGACCGAGTCGCCGGTGGAGGATGCCAAGCCAGAGCAGGTGCCACGACACGGTTCACATAAGAAAGCGTCGGATACCAGCACCTCAAACGAGCTAGAATGCCAAAACACTGACCGTGCTAGTCCCTCCAAGTCGAATGACACCCCGCCGGCTGAGACGTCGATTCAGGAAGAAGAGACTTCCAAGCCCGGGAAGAGTAAGGCGGCGGCTCCTCCTCCGCCGGATCCGGTGGTGAAAGAGTTCACTGTGTCGGCGAAGTGGCTGCTCGAGTCGGGAGTTTTGGAGGGCCTCACCGTGCGGTACATGCCACGGCCGGGAGAGGTATGGTATCTTGTTTTTCATCTCGTGATCTTCAGTTTCTTTTTTACGACAACCACCTTGTTGACGCTTTGTCCAGGTGTTAGGAAGTGGAGTTGTCAAGAGCGGTGTCATTCTGTGCAATTGTCGACATTGTAAAAGCCACCAGGTGAGTGAGTTCACGTTTGTTTGTTTCTCTCGAGTCCTAGCCATGTCTTTATTCTAATGCAGGGTTTCAACGCGTCCTCGTTTGAGAAGCACGTAGGTAGCACTGCCCGGCACCCGAGCGACTTCATCTTCCTAGACAACGGGAGGCGGCTTAGAGAAGTTTTGGAGGACGGGTCGAGGTTTAGAGACAAGCCAAACATGATGGGTGCGCTGCGCAAGGCCGTGTCCATGGACTGGGAGGACGATTCCTAGAGAAACAATGGAGTTTCAAGCGTGCGCGTGTCAGTCTACTCTCAGGTCTGTAATCTCCTCAGTAAAGAAACGGTTTTCTTTTCTTGTTTTGTTTTGTTCTGTGACCAAATCTGAAAGCCGTGCTTCTTCCAGGAAACGAGAAAGCTAGGATTCGAGCCCCCCCTTACCTTCTTTAAGAGCCACCCGTGCAAAAGAATTTCGTTTGGTACGTTCCCTCCAGTTTTCTAGCTACGAAAGAGAGTGAGAGCTGATTTTTCTTGCTGGAACTTGGATCGATCGATTCGATGATCAAACTTCCAAAGTACTAGATATCGTTTTCCAGGACCTGAGATGGCGACTGAAGTGTGGATCCCAGCCTTGGAAGAAAAAAAGGCGAGAGAAGAGGGAGAAGGGATTGATCCTTCTCCACCACCACCATCGCCACCACCATCGCCACCAGCAAGGCTTTAGTGACGTCAAACACACAGTGATGTCACCGCTAGAGGAGAGAAATTCAAAGGTCGTATGGTATGGATGGACGGAAAAATAAGAAAAGATTTCCTTTGCCAGGCATTGCGGGACCCAAGATCATTTTGAGAATCGGATTGGTCCAACTCACTCCATTCATGGTGGTGGTGGTGACAAAGACAGCAGCTCAGAGAAAAAAAAAAAGAGGGTTTAGACAAATCCTCTCTCCCGTACACCATAACACTCGTGCCCGTACACCTGGACGTTGCTACTGTGGTTACCGCCGGCGGCGGCGGTGGTGGCGGTGGCGGTGGCGGCGGCGGCGGCGTACCGCGCGGTACCGCCGCTACCGACTTTAAGGTTGAGCTTCCAGACGAACAGGCTCCCCAGGTGCTGGTCGTCCAGCCGCCGCATCTCGCACGGCACGCCGCTTAAGTAGCAGCGCTTGACGCCCTCCATCCAATCCACTCTCGCCTGCCCGACCAAGCTCACGGCCGAGTAGGGGCTCCGCTCGCTCTGGAAGGTGACGCATACCTCCGGCGTGGGCGTGGGGGCCGCGGCCACCACCACCACCTCGGGCTGGACGGTGGTGGCGATGGCGCCCGTGGTGGCAGCAGCGTTCATGCTGTTGCTACTGGCCGAGTCCTGCAGCCCGATGCTACTGCCGCCCGACGAGGAGCGCACGAGCTGGTTGTAGGCGGCGTTCACCCAGCGCACGCGGTTGCTCCTGTCCGTGACGAACGCCGGGAGGCCGTCCTTCTCCAGCTGCGACTCCACCGTCTCCAGGCTCCCGGAGAGGTAGCCCGCGTAGGAGTTCACCTCGGTTATGGAGTCGAGGCACACGTTGGAGCCGACCACCAGCGGCACTGGACGGACCGGCTGTGGAGCGATCACCCTTTGCTGCTGGTGCTGGTGCTGGTGCTGGTGCTGTTGTGGCATCGAGCTCGAGCTTTGCTCCACAAACTCAGCCCTGCCACCCGGCTTGGACGAAGAAGAGCTCGGGAGGCCAGTGTGCATGAACTTTTTGAGGAATCCCCACAGCACGGCATTGCACTCCGAGCCCCGCATTCTATACCGGAAGCATCCCAGCTGCGTAGGGAGGCCCAGCGGATCGATGTACGGCCCGGCGGCGCGCTGCGGCTTACCGCCCAGCCTCTCCGACACCACCTTGTCGTAGCTGAGGTTGGACCAGAGCACCACGGAGCGGGTGCTGGATGCGCCACCGCCGAGATCCTCCGTGAGGGCCACCGGGTCGGACGATCCGCCATAGGCCTGCTCCAAGTAGCTCGAGTCGATCACCATCCCGGCGCGGTGCTGCTGATGGTGGAAGGCATCCTGGCGGCTTTGTTCTTGTTGCTGTTGTTGAGGGACCCTTTGCTCGTGTACCGCGGCGGTACGTGGCTGCGCCGCCGCGCCATACCGCCGCGCCACCGGCGGCGCCGAGCTGCCCGAGCACAAGCTCAGCTCCAGCCGATTGGAATCGTCCCTGTATCTATCCCGGTCCCGCCGCCCCAGCAAATCGATCGATGACACCACCTCCGGGACTGGATTCGCGAGCTGATGCTGCGCTGGTGTGTCTGGCAGCAACGACAGCGTCACAAGCTTGGGCCTTTCGTCATCGCCATTGCCATCTCCCAAGGCAGCGATGGGAGCTGGAGGAGAAGCCTGGCGAGGCGGCGGCGGCGGCGGCGGCGGAGGTAGTGGTGGTGGCGGCGGTGGTGGAGGAGGAGGAGGAGATACTTGCTGTACATTGGAGCCTAGATCACTCACCAGCGATCTCGAATTGCTGCTGCTGTTCTTTCGGAGGCTATAGCCACCGCCGCCGCCGCCACTGCTCGCCAGCGTGGCTGGCGGCTTGACCGCCACCATGACGCTGCTGCCCGCGTCCTCGAGCACGACGTTAGGGCTCCTGGCGTACGACTGTGTGCTCGTGTTGCCAATCGATCCTCCTCCTACTGCCACCGCGGGCCTTATGATCTTCCACCCGGGCAATGCCTGGGCGTCCGACAGCATCGATACGGACGTAGTGACCGTGGACAAGCTCCCGGCGATGTCCACCATCACTGGCACCATCTGCTGGCTCTGGTGGTGGATTTGCTGCTGGATCTGGAGCTGGATTTGCTGCTGCTGCTGCTGCTGCTGCTGGTGGTGCTGGTGAATCTTCTGCTGCTTGCTGCGATTGTTGGCCGCCGATCGCTTGTAGCTCCGGGGCGAGCCGAGCGAGGAATCGCCGGATCTCTTGCGCCCCTTCCTACACCCTGGCGACACCGAGGAGGAGGATTGCGTCGGGGCATCGGCGGGCGCTGGGGCTTGATCGGGCTTGGCGCTGCCGGTGGCGCTGGATGGCGCCGAAGGGGGCTTGGGCGCAATTGGACGATACCGCGACAAGATCTGCTCCGCCTTGGACGAATACATGTTGAAGAAGGGAAACATGAGGGAAGAACACCACGATCTATCGCCGCGCGCTAGTGAAATATCCCCCACCTTCTTCCTCCTCGCCTCCCCATTCGTGAATCATGCCCCCTCCTCCCGATTCTCACCTCCCCCGCCCGAAATATCGATCCATCCCCAGGAATTCGGCGCTCCATCGCGATCTTGCCCGCATTCCAATCCGGGCGCTCCTCCTACCCTAAGAGATCCCGCCCCCCGGGCGAGCTCCTCTCACGAAATCTGTGCAAACCAAACAGGCACCGGCACAGAAAAACTCAGAGATTCCCCCGGGAGCCGATCGATCCGGCGCTGGCCTCGCGGATTCCAGACACCGAGCCCTAAAACCACAGCCCTCGCACGCAATCGCTCGGTTCTTGGCCAAGGCAGTGGAGACGACAGCGCGAAGAGAGAAAACGAAGAGAACAAACTGAAGAACAGGGTAAAAAATCAGATATCAAAGGGTTAAAGTATAAGTCACCTAGAGTTAAGAAAATTTGACGAGAAAAAAAAAACATTATTGACGGTACTGGAGTGTATCAAATGGAGGGCGGTAAGGGGATCGATGGCAGGCAAGCCACCACAGCCACAGATTTTGATATCGTGCCCAATTACCTACGACAAGAAAACTTCCAGCCCAGACAACCAGGTCCGGTACCATACCTACTAGCTTTCGCCGCACCACCACGAACAAAACACGCGTCGCGGCCTGGGCCCCACGCCTCTGGGTGGCCCACGCTGCTTCGGAGCCGTACCCCATTGGGCAAAATGGGACTTTGGACAAAATATTTTAAGCCCTTGTTTCCGGCGAGCAAATTTTTTAGGGCTTTGCTATATTCTTACTATGTATAGTGCACGGGAGAGATTTGCTGATCCACTACAGCTGGACAAAGCATATAAGAGTGATTAAAGCATTTAGGGAAGAATTTTAATAGCCTAAGTGGACCCAAGCTTCAGACAACATTGATGCCGTACCACCAACCGATTTTCAGCACCAATTTAGAAGCAAAGGAAAAAGAAGAGTGTCGCGCTGGCGGGTGGCCACTGGCTGTACGAAATATCTCCCGACCCCGTGGCCAAAGGCAGCCGATTGGTCCAGAGTCTGGTGGCCATTACTCCCACGAGGGGCCATCACCCCTTAACCAGGACCGATTTAAAATAAGGTTACAAGCTACTTATAAACGGCCAATGGGGTACCTGGATTTGACGTCAGCCCTCTTTCCAGCCGACGCGTGGCGGTGGGCCCCGTCCGACGTGGCTGCAAGGCCGTCCAATGAAGCACGTGGACCCGGCAACGAGAGGCTGGTTTTGATTGGCTGACGGGGCGGAGGAATGCCCTCCCATTGGCCGGCGTGCTTGCGAAAAGATCCCCACATATCCACATCCACGATTCCACTTTGTTTATAAATAAGTAAAGAATGAAGCAAGGTTTTGATGGAGGAAACCATGCAAACCCAAGGTTTTAATTCATGTTTATACTATACGTCGCTATCAACACCACCACCACCACCGCCTTGTAAACAATGATAGTGCATGTCTCCCAATGGCATTAAGGTATATGGTCTCGTCCAAAAGGATTGGCCGCGACTATGATACCTAGTCCAAAGTGCCGGCTTGAAACACCCTTTTGTTTTTTGGGCTCCCGATGATCACGGATCGATCATACTCGGTGACCGATCAGTGGATCTCTCATGGCTTAATCACTGAAAACCGAGCGAAACCATTTATACAATGGTTTGTGGCTGGATCTGTCGGCACAAGCCTATAAAGCTTTGCCTCCCACAAAACCCACAACTCCCACTCATAAAATACGAAAGCTTCTCCCCCTGCGCGAGACCCCACCAAAGTCAGCAATTCTCCACAAGCCCCTGCTCGGAGGCATCCATTCAAGTCCCATCGCACCAATCACACCGATTCCTTTTCATTAAGCTGTGTGTAGAGCCCAGCAAGTTAGTGCAAGAGATGCTCCTACAAAGTTTTCCTTCCAGATCAAAACCAATGCTACAAAGCTTACTAAAAACTTCAACAGAAACCCATCCTTTTCTATGCTACCTTTGTGTGTGTGCGTGAGAGAGAAAGAGAGAGAGAAGAGAGTTGGAAAAGAGAGAGGGAGAGAGAGAGAGAGAGAGAGAGAGAGATATTCACAAGTAAGCTGAGAAGTCCACCCTACGTCGATTGCTATGTGTGGGGAACCATACCGCCGCAGCTGTCGCGTAGCCGTCGTAATTCCTCCTAAAGGCTGATGACGACTCCGCGGTGGAGTTGACATCGCTGTCCATCATCTCGACCGCCTGCTGATGCTGCTGCTGGGGCTGCTGCAGCTGCAGCTGAGGGAATTGCTGCTGCTGGGGATGCTGCTCCTGTCTGTGGTTGGCGGGATGAAAATCTTCCCCCGGCCCCGCCAGCGCAAAGTTGTGCTGCTGCGGCTGAAGATGGTGGTGGTGGTGGTGGTGGTGATGATGGATCCGGCTGGACCCGGACCGCAGCGTGTTAAAGTCAGGGAGGAGCGTTGGAACGATCTGATCCGGGTGTGAGGTGTCCGAACATCGGTCTCGCTGCTGCTGCTGCTGGTTTTGGCGCTCGATCACCATCTGGTCGTTTGATCGTCGCTGGCTCTCGTGGCACTGGTGCCCGTTGCTACCGCCATAGTCTCTGATCTGCTGCTCGCCATTGTCACTGTTTATCTCCGGCGGCTCCGGCGTCCCACTGCCATTGCTGATACTGTTACTGTTGTGCTCCCACATGTCCCGCAGCCCCCGCTGCAGCCGCTCCCGCGCCGCCGCGATCTCCACCACCGGCCTCGGGTAGTTGCAGCCCAGCTCGATCCCCGCCGCGCACAGCACGCTCGGGGGCGCGTTCCACGGCTCGTGGATCCACTCCGTCGGCAGCCTCGACAGCTCCGGCAGCCACTTCCGGACGTAGTTGCCATCCGGATCGAACCGCCGCCCCTCGATCTGCACAAAACCCCGGGTTTGGTCTAGAGAGAGAAAAGATGGCGGGCAATGGAAGCTTACGTGTGGGATCTCCATGCGGTCCAGCTCGTGGCCGTCCGGGAGGCTCCCGGAGATGTACTGCCACCCGAGGATGTCCGACTCGAGGTCCGCGTCCAGCAGCGTGTCCCAGAAGTACTTCATCCCCCAGCGCCACGGGAGCTGGAGGAACTTGACGCAGAAGCTCGAGACGATGACGCGGATCCGGTTGTGGAGCCAGCCCGTCGCCCAAAGCTCGCGCATCCCGGCGTCGACGAGAGGATACCCGGTTCGCCCCTGCCGCCACGCCTTGAAGAACCCCTCGTCAACTCTCCAGGGGAAGTGTCTCAGGTGCCCCAGCAGCGATCGCTCGTGAGTGAAGGGGAAGTGGAAGCACAGGTACCTCGAGTACTCGCGGTAGCCGAGCGCTCGCAGGAACAAGCTCGCGCTGCGCTCCGCGGGCTGCCTGCCGTCGGTGATCCACAGCAGCTGCTTGCTGCGCACGGCGTGGAACACCTTCCGGATGCTCAGCTCTCCGTAGTGCAAGTGCGGCGAGAGCATGGACGTGGTGCCACCGTCCACCTTGCCGCGGTTGTCGCCATAGTCGGCCAGCGGCCCGGCCAGGAACGCGTCCAGGGACTTGTTGGCGTTGCTCCAGCCGGGCGTCCAAGTCCGGGCGAGCATCGCGTTGCTGCTCTTCTCGAAGTCGTCCTCGAGGCCGAGCTCCTCGGCTGGGAGACCGAGGTGGCCGAGCCCCGGCTCGGCTGGCGGGGAGAGGCGCTTTGGCGGGAGTAGTGGGCCGTCGGGTTCGTGGTCCATGCCGAGGTAGCGCTGCCAAAACAATTGAAAGTGTGTATATGGATTGCCTCGCGCGTCGAAGAGCTCCCACGGCTCGTAGAGGAGATCCGCGTTGAAGGTCTGTACGGTGATGCCGTACTGCGAGAGGCCGTGCTTTACGTGGTGGTCTCGGATGAGCGACACGGGATCTGTGGAGGAAGAGGAGCGAAAGAGTTAGATCATAAGAGAAGTTGGCTATCGAAAGACAACTTGGAGGAACTGGAGAGAACTCGAGGAACTATAGGAAAGATGGAAAATCCATGGTGCTCACCATAGAGGTGATTGTAGAAAACCTGAGTAGCTTTGGTGTCCCTGGCGATCTGAAGCAGTGCGTTGAGGCTGCTGCCGCGGGACTTTTGCATCAAGAGCGGGCAGCCGAGCTTGGTGAGCGAGGAATTCAGGTGCATCAAGCTTTGCTTGAGCCACCATCGCGACACTCTCCCCGGGCGGAACTCTCCCTCCTCCTCAGCGCACCAGATGAACAGCGGAACCACGGCCCCGGCTTTGGACGCCGCCGCCAGCGCCGGATTGTCCTCCACTCGCAGATCTCGCCGAAACCACACGATGGTTGTGCTGCTACCCATCTCTTTCTCTTTCTCTCGCACTCCCTCTCTCTTACTTTAGGCTTGGTCTCTCTCTCTCTCTCTCCTCTCTCTCTCTCTGTTTTAGAGACCGAAAGCGATGATCAGCGACCTGGGAGGTGAAATGCGAGCGCGATTTCAGTCATGCTCGGCTCCCAGCCCCGAATATGGCATTGGGCAGAGGCCGATTAGAGATTCCCCGGCCCAGCGGTGCGCCATACCTTGTCTTCTCACTCCAGGTGCTTTCCTGGCTCCTTTTGCCTCGCTCTCTTCTTGGGTCGCGGAATCCATAGCTGTTCCAGCTGCCCAGCTAGCGCATTCCGTGCCTTCTTTCTCTTTTTTCGCTTTTCCACTGCCTCGCCAATCCACAAGGAAGAGAGAGAGAGGGAAAGAAAAAAAAGGCTTATCTCTTCCACTGCTTTGTCCAGTTGCTGAGCGAGCTTGTGGATAGTAGTAAGAAGATGGGTCTGCCAAACAGCGCATTAGGGCACACTGTGATCAGCGCCACGTCTACGTCCGTATAGCGCCCCACCACCGCGTGCAGTGCCACGGCTAATGTTACTCTCCACTCTTTGCCCGATGATTTAGAGATATTCTTCCTGTCGCCCTTGCGTGGGGCATTTTCTGGTACATGGATTGGAATATGCCATTCATGGAAGAGCAGTCACCCGTGGACGAATCACGAGGCGCCAGGTGGACGGACCAGTGGCGATTCACGCGCAGCCATGTCGGAGCTTTTGTACAATGACGAGCGCTGCCGTCATCTCTAAGCGGGAGGTGAGCCTATCTTCTAGAATTTGCGTCTTGCTAGGCCTATCTCGCACTCTTTGCGATCGATCTTACCTCGTTGGAGGAGCTCCGCTTTTTTTACATTGCTGTTCATATGAGTTCATGCTGAAATCTATCCGGAAAGAACAAAGGTCGATCAAATAGTAATCTAAGTTAAAATGTTGATATATTACTAAAAACTTAAATTTAGTTCAATAAAATTTTATTCCTAGTTTTATCTCGGGATCTAATTTTATAATAAAAAAGCTTTGTGCTGACCAAGCCACCTTTTTCGATTATTATTACATGGTTTTGGGGTGATTGGCGCTCAAATGGAGTCATGAGACCACAGTGCAATGGATGCAAATGTAAACCTCAAAGGATCGAGAAGTCAAAGGCCCGCCACCTCCTACTGTTAAAATAAGATCAATTAAAAAGAAAGCCTTCAATGCAAAAACAAGAAGGAACAAAATAAATCAATCTAAGTCCCAAGATCTCGTCAAGAATGCCGTGTCAATGTTGTTTTCGATTGCATGATTGTGCTGTGCAGAGCTGTCTATGAAGTGAGAGTCTCCCCGCGGTTTCTTGCTTCCAAAGCGTAAAACGAATATACCCAGCGCCAGCAGAATATGCTGGGGCTTAACTGAATATTCGCAAGGTCCTTTTCTATTAGCAGACCCTTTGAGAGAATATGCCGGCGCGATGACAAAAATGGCGTGAAAAAGGTAATTCTTTTGTCTAATGGGACGTGGCACGTTAGTGTTTAAACGATCGCTAGGCTAAACCTCTTTTTGTAGGTGAGGGAAATTCTAGGTAGCGCGCGAGCGAGAAATCGGTGAGAGGGAGAGCGCGAGGAGAAGATCGACCTGAGATCACGGAGAGAGTGTAGCTAGGAAGAGGGCGGCTATGGCGCCAGCAGCTGCCGTGGATTCGTCGCCGCTCCAGGATTGGAGCGACGAGATGGAAAGCAATGGAGATTTCGAGCTTGCGAGCAGCAGCGGGAATGGATCGGGGGCTCCTGGCGCGCCGGATCACGGCTGGCACAAGGTGACAAACCCTAAGAAGCAGCGGCTGCGGGAGAGGAAGCTCAAGGCCGAGGGGGGAGGAGGAGGCGAAGGGGGCGCTGGGTTAGGTCAAGATGGGAAGAACTCCTCCAAGGCGTTTGAGGCGCTGGAGAAGGAGGCGGAGGCGCGAACCGAGCGGCGCAAGTCGAGGAAGGCTGCATGGAGCGCCAGTGTCGCCGCCGCTGCCACCCCCGCCGCGAATGGCGTCCATGATCCTCACGGCAGCGACGATGAGGAGCAAGGTAGCGATGTTGAGTCTAAGAATGCCGCTGTTGCGAATGGAGGAGGAGGCAGCGCCAATGGAGGCGAGAAGAAAAAAAAGGCAAAGAAGCCAAAGGTTTCTATTGCCGATGCTGCGGCTGCAATTGACCCAGTGGATCTGGCAGACTATCTCGCCACCTTGTCGGTATGTTCTTCATCGTTTTTTCTTCTTTGGTTTTTCTTTTTTCGAATTCCATGCATGCTGACACTTGGATTTCTCCTCCAGGCGTCTTACGACGATATTCAATTGATTCGTTGCGTGGATTACTTCGTCAAGATTTTCTCGCCTGTAAATACGGTAGAGATCGCGTGGGACAAGATGTCGAGGGATCCGCTGCTCAAGAGCGTCCAGGTGAGAGTTTAAATGCTTCTCGTGATGCTTAGAGACTAATGCTGGCTGTTTTCCTTCACATTTCAAGGTTCCTATCGGGGATCTTCCTGACAAAGTGTGTAGAGCCACAGCTAACTGGCTGGGACAGAAGTCCGTGGACGCTTTGTCACAATTCGTCTCCTGGGCCCTCAACGATGTTTTGTTCGAGGCTCAGCCCCAGCAAAAGGGTGGGAAGAGTGGTCCTACGGTTTCCAACAGCACAAAGGTAGCTAGCCCATGACATTTTGTGGCGCTATTTCTTTTATCTCTTCACATATATCCTGACCGGTCGCAACCAACTTGCGCGTGTCTTTGGCAGATTGCTGTGCTCGTTGTTGTGGCCATACTACTGAGAAGAAGGTCCGAAGTGCTACTGGGAATGATGGAAACGCTTCGACAACCGAAGTTTCAAGCTCCACCGAAGCTTTACGTACTGGCCTGGATGTACGGCCAGGTTGGTGTTTGATACTGTCCTGTGCTCCGAAGGTTTTAACATTTATCGCAGGTAGCTCGTGAGGATCTGCTTGCTGGATTATATCTGTGGTCCCATAATCTTCTGCCATTCGCTGTTGGTAGCTCCAGCACTCCGGTTACTCGGGACATTGCTCTCCAGTTTTTTGAGGGGTACGATAGCTCTTGTTTATCTCATGACTGATGGTTGCATTTATTGCAGCTTTGTGATGAAAGACCTCGCTAAGAACCGCCCCTCTCTCTTGACTGGTGCTACAAGGAAGGAGAGGTTGATTTCTCCTCACGCGCTCATTGCGTGCCTCCATATGGCGTATCCACCCGAGTCGTCTAGAACTAAGGTACAACTACTCATTTTTGGCGGGCAAGATATTGACATTCGCGTGCAGGCAACGCAAAGGTATTTGGCGATTTATCCCACAGTGAAAGAAATTTCTCTTGGAGGCTCTACTCGCACTCGAGCACTAAAGACTGTAGCTCAGCAGCTTCTTCCGATGTCCCTTACCGTGGCCGAAGAAGGTAAACTATCTGCATTATCTGATGGCCTCCCTCATCTAAGCTTGCCCTGGCAGATGATGCCGAGTTGTCCCTTGAAGGCTGCGATCTATTCAGGTGGTGTTTGTTTCAGTCACCCGATAGCTACAAGCAATGGGTGAGTCCTGCTTAAGTTTTCTTTGTGACAGTCCTTGAACTCTTGTGTCTACCGAACTTGTACTATTGCAGGAGAAGCTCTATCCGGAAAGGTTGAAAGGCAGCGTGCGTGTCCTAAAGTTCCTTAGGGGTACTTGGAGGGAATCCCAGTCCATGCTCTCGCCACTCAAAGAGTTACAGAGCACGGTGACATCACTAAAGCTCCAGGTGAGAGCTGAAAATGCCCTTTCCTTTGAGATGTTCGCTAACTCTTGTTTGTATGTGCAGAGTCTCAAGATGAAACAAGATCCCAAGCTGGAAGCCGAGTCGATCAAGGCTTTGGATCACTGCAAGTTTCTCCAGAAGAAGATGAGCTTGTGGAATGCGTGCTTGAGCGCGAGCGTCGCTCTGGCGTGCACGGCGGCTGCTGGCTACGCGTTCTATCTTCTGAGCCCCGACAAGAACCCATGGAACTGGGACGGTAAGATTCTTCTCAGCAATCTATAGTTTCTCTCTTCTATCTCGATCGCAAGCTACCATTGACGACAGCAACACCAAAAGCCAAAAAAAAAGGTTCTATGCTCGACGTGATTCAAAGACAAGTTCTTAGACCTTAGAGACGGTGAAGAAAAAAATTTGATCTTTTGGAGTAGGATAGGCGCTTCTCTCTTTTTTTCTTCACCGTTTGTTTCTTCGTAATAATAAGGAATGGAAGTCTTTGCCTTTTGAGGGGGAAAATTTCGAAATTTTAGGGCTCTTTGCTGTGGTTATGGAGAAGCCGGGGCATCTCAAGGCGGTGGACGGGGTTTGATCGTCGAGAGCTTGATTCTCGTCTCATTCTTGCTCGATTTTATGCCAGGTGCTGCTTACAGCTCATGAGGCGGAGCACATTGTGGAGAATCTCAAGTGTTTCTCGGTGAAAGAGGCATGGATTGTCTTGCATTTCGTTTTTCTGTGAAGTTTTGCTGTCAGGTGGGATGTCCTGCGTGGATGAAGCAACACCGGAAGCTAGAAAAGCTTAATCTCCAGGTTTGTCTAGATCGCGATCGTTGTGATGCGTGATTCTTTTTGTTTCTTTTGATCAGGCCCATTATAACACTATAGCTCACTGTGACGAGTTCATTATGGAGGTGAGATCTCGATTCTTGTGTAGATAAACACTTGTTTGATCGTCTTTTCTTCTTTCTTTGTGCTGCAGGCTTTGCTTTCGTTTGAAAAGCTAGGAGTTTTGATTCATGAGCTTCTTGCTATCGAGGTAATACAAATATCTATCTATCTATGGAGCTCACTCGATCGTTGTGACAAGCGTAGATCTGGAAAGAGAAGGTCTTGCCTCATATAATGAAGCACTTGGCTGGAATGTCATCTACAATAAGGCTGAGCCTGATTTTCTATCAGGAAGTAACAGTTATAAAGTTGTTTGAGGTGCGATAGACGAAATTTGGAAGCCCGTAGTGTTAACAAGAGTTAGTTTCCCTCGCAGATCATGCTCTTTCACAAGGAAGCGTGTAAAGCACTGGGTAGCAGCAACCTTCTTGAGGTATGGTTTCCACTTCTTTTTTGTTGCTATAACTTTTTGTTTCTCGCAGCTTGTTGATTATTGCTATCGAAAACTGGTGTATCTCAACACAAATGCTTCAAAAGACGCCGCTTATAAAGGTTTTGCTTAGATCCTTCAAAAAATGCTGAGTCTTAAGAATGGATATTTACCTTTGGATCTTTGGATGAACAGAAAGAACTGCCCAGCAAGTCATGTCTCTAAAGCCAGAACTTGAGATGGAAGAAAAGGTTAGTGTCGATTTTACGCAATTCGCTGCCATAGTTGAATTGACTTAGAGAGCTTCGGTGACTTCCAGGCTGGCGAGATACAGTTTGGCTGTGCCATCGCGTCCTTGACAATTTTGCGGTACATGCTGTCTGCTGTTGCTGATAACATAAAACGTGAACGTTTCTAATCAAAGGCATGAGCTGATTCACTCTCTGACTTTTGATCATTTCTTTTTCCTGTTTTTGTTTATCTAGGTACTTCAGCGATTATGTCAATGATCTTCCTCCAGGAGTGATGGTTAGATCGACAATCAGGTGTTATTTTATCATTCTGAGCTATGAATGCACAGGCCCGGCTGATTGACACGCATGATGTGATTATGGGGCTTGTCAACCTTGTGGAGTCGCCCCCATGGGAAAGACGAAGAAATCTTAAAGCCAAAGTCGTGGTACGTTTTACAAATTATCAGCTCACAACATTTTTCTTCTTTTGAATTTGGAATACTAGACAGAAAAGTATGAGGAAGGAAAATGGGTTGAGGTTACTCCACAAGATCGGTTCAGGATTTTCAAGTCTGAAGCACAGGTAATTCTTAATTCCTCTCGAATTGTCAAGGCGATTGAGTGTCGATCTTTGCAGGTCTGGCTGGCATTGAATAATCTTGTTGCAGACATTCAGTGCCGTGCTAGATACACCTACGATGACTTCCGCCAGGCTCAAGTCTTGAAGGTAGAAGGTTCTCTTCCTTGTCTTCTGTCCCTGCCTGACACCGGGATCCACTCCAGCTGCGAAAGTATCTGAATGAAATGGTGCTGGAGCAGCTGCCGGTTTTGAAGGATTTACAATGGGTAACACTGTAGCTGAAATCACCGATTCAACATTTGTGTTTATACAGGCTTTAGAAGAAATTTCTCTCAAAGTGTTTGCGACGGAGGAGGACCGAAGAACTGCACACTTGATCATGGAGGAGGTACGAATACCAGAGTTCTCGATGTTACAAAGGCGTTGACATTGACGACATTACTTCAGATACCGGAAATGAGAACAGCGCTGCTTGCCAGACGAGACTGGAGTAAGCTTAGTTTTCGAAAAAAGAAGTTGGCAAATGCTCGTTTTCTCTTGTTTTTTCAGGACAACTTGCTGAAGATCAGATAGAGATGATACGATCCGACCCACGATTGAGTGGCGATTCCCCGGCAGAGCTGGACGAACTAATGCGGATGTTCCAGTTTGGCGAGTCCATGGATACGCCCAAGTGCGCAGATTGCGGCGCTCCAGCGGAGAAACGATGCTCACGCTGTAAAAATGATTGGTGAGCTTGCAAAATTCGATCGATTCCAAGAGAAATTTGTAAAACGTTTTTGCTCTTCCAGGTATTGTGGCCGGAGCTGCCAAGTCGCAAACTGGAAGATCCACAAGAAGATATGTGACTTGGTCTCAAGCGCTAACACGAAGAGCTCCTAGCCTAGCGACGCTTTAGCGCCAACGTTTGAATTTAAACGTGGAGCTGACGGGGCTGCTGACGTGGATCCTACGCGGGCGCTGTCCCCAAAACCCTGGCTATGGCCGCGCTAGCGAGCTCGTACTGCTGCGCGTTTAGGTTCCGCCGGGAGAAATGCCGCGCGATTCTCGGGTGTGGCGAGCGGCGCCTGGCGTCTGGCAATGCCGCTGGATTGATCGTATTGATGGGATGCGTTCCTTGCGAAATAGGCTCCTCGCGGCTTGTTCTTGTGAAAGCGTCGGCGGCAGGGGCATCCAGTGATGAGCCACTACCCGCTGGTAAGTAGTTTCGATTCGACTGCGCAACGATCTTACTAGTCATAGTTCTTGGATTTAAGATCCCGCAGCTAAACGCTCGCGCTCGACGAAGAAATCCAATGTGGAAGGGGGAACCCAGGCTCCAAAGAAGGCTTCTGCGAGGAAGAAGAAAACCACCGATTCTTCGGAAGAACAGGAGGCTGAGTCGCTAGGGGGTGGTGAAACTTCTACCATCCAGCGAGACAACGAGTTTGCTGCGACCAGGAGCTTGTACAGGAAGGTGATGAATGCCGAGGAGAAAGAGCTCCGTTTCTACTTCCTCGAGTCGCTCATGGAGAACGCGAGGAGTGGCAACATTGATGGTGTGGAGGAGGTCATGTCCGAGATGGACGTTGTTGGATTGAAACCGGGGCCTCGATCCTTCCATGGCCTCGTTGCTGCTTACGCTCAAGCGAATGACGTTGAAGGAGCGGTAAGTTTCTCTCCTTTTTCTTCCTCTCCGCTAGAGATTACGAGATGGCTACTTAGCTTTTCTCTTTTCTTTCAGTGCAGCTTCAGGCTTTGAGGAAGGAAATCGCGTCGGGAGAGACGCCTCTGCAAGAGACTTTCGTTGCCGTCGCGAGGCTGCTTGGACGTGCTGGCCTTCGTGATCGAGCGGAGAAAATTCTCGGAGCTATTGAAGGTGCAAACCTGGATACTCGTACTGCTTGGGTGGTGACTTGTGGTACGTTTTTTATTCTTCTTTATCTTTTCCGTTGTTGAATGGATCTGGATTCTGCGCAGAGGAGCTTTTCAATGCTGGATACTTGAACGAAGCAAATGACCTTTTTATGAAAGGTGCAAATGGTGGTTTCAGAGCCAGTGAGCATTTGTACGACATATTGGTCGAGGAAAACTGCAAAACCGGCAAGCATGGTGTTGCCATAAATATTTTGAGGTCGATGGAATCAAGAGGAAGGCTGGCCACTACCTTCCATTACAATTGTTTGCTTCTTGCTCAGGTAAAAGTTTTTAAAATCTTGGTTTCTATTTACACTTTTGACAGGGAAATGCCAATTTTCCAGACATTGCAGAAGACACTTTTGAAGAGATGCAGTACCTAAGACGTGAGTCCATACGTTTTACGTGCTCAATGACTCACAAAGTGCCTTGTGCTTGCAGCGGACACGAAACCCGATACCGAGTCATTTAACCTTATGATACAAGCTCAAACACGTTGTGACAACGGAGAAAGGTGTGTTTGGTCACGCGTATAGAGATGCTAACGTCCTTCCATTCACAGGGTTCATGAAGTCATAGTGCTGATAGGACACATGACGGAGCTGTATCCTCAAGTGAAGCCAAATGCTCGAACATATGCGTAAGTGAGTCTAATCATTATAAACATTTCCTGTTTCCTACGTTCGATATGCAGACTGATCGTTGAATGCTACGTGAAATTTAACTTCATGGACGAGGCAATGCGTCATTTTCGGGCTCTCACAAAATTATTCCCAGGTTCTCTACACGTTCTCCATTGTGATGGGAAGCACGGTGATCCTCTCTCGCTGCTGATACGCTCGCTTTGCTTGGAAGGTAACTTGGAAAAAAAAATGATTCTGTGTTCATTGCTATTGCTTATGCAGGTAGAATTGTACAGCTTGTCGAAGTTTTGGATTTGATGCTACAAGAAGGCCTGAAATTAACTCCAAGAGCTATGTTTATGAATCGAAAGGGACGCACGTTAGTAAGCTCGTGGATTGAGCCCATACAGGAGGAAGCAGACATAGGATGCGAAATTGATTTTGTTGCACGGTCAGTTTTCTTTCTTACAGTTTATTTCATGCTCTTGATACGAAGCTTGTAATTTGCAGTTACATAGCAGAAGGTGGTCTAACTGGCACACGGAGAAGATGGACGCCCGCTGCTCGTAAGGATCCAAACAGGATTCTACCCGATTATGATGGCTACAGATTTTCACCTCCAGTGGAGAAGTCTTACAAACAGTACTGCAGCATAAAGCGACAAGAATATAAGCGAAAGCTGATTCATTTGTTGCAATTTGAAGGCGTCTATGCCTTGGGGGAAAATGCCAGGGAAGAAGAGTACACTGCAATACTAGAGAGGCTGAAAAAAGAGAACGTCCGGAAGAGACTTAGTGACGTTCGAAAGCCCAAGGCAGCAAGTAAGCTTTCTGTTGCTGAAATGAAGGAAGAACTTGAAGCTCAGGGTCTTCCAACGGACGGGAACAGAAGGCTCCTGTATCAAAGGGTTCAAAAGGCGCGCAGGATAAATCTGGCCAAAGGAGCGCCTTTGTGGATGCCACCGGAAGAAGAAACTATCGAAGAGGTCTGTCTTCTCAAGCAATTTTTTAAAATTCTTTTTCTAAGGCTTCCATCGTTGTATTGCAGGTAGATGAAGAGTTTGAAACAGTCTTGGCTAAAATAGATCTGAGAAACCCGAGACAACAATATCGACGAAAATGCTTTATTGAAGGAGTGGGACTTGAAAACTTGTACAAAGAAAATCCACGAATGGTGATCGAGGAGTCGGACAGCGAGATGGAGGAGGACGCTGAAGCAGAGCCACGAGAGGTAGAAGGACATGTAGTCAGGGAAGATGAAGAAGAGATTATTCAACCCGTTGACGGTGGTGAGGTTGATGAAACAACAGAAGCATCGAAAACAACAGACGACGAAGACGAAGAAGAAGAGGAAGTCGTGGTAAGTGCTCCAAGATTCCTTCTACATTTGTGAGGATCACATTTTCGCTTTTGTAGGAGGTGAGCCCTGCTGTAGTTGGCAATGAACCAGCGTCGGACAACATCGAGGGAGCCTACAAGCCATTGACGCTGGAAGAGAAGCGTGCAGAGCTTGCTGCAATGAAGTTCGACTTTAGAGAAATGGACGAGATTGAGGAGATATGGGGATGGACCTGGGAAAGAGATCTACAAGCTCAACCTCCGGAGATATGGACGCGCAAGCGCGAAGTTGAGCTGAGCATTCAGCTGCTGGACAAGGCAAGTTTCGTCCTTACGATTTTTCGAGCTTTGGAAGTGCTAAATACTTTGTCTCCTCAGGTTCTCGAGCTGGGAGGAAGTCCTACGTTAAGCGACTGTGCCATGCTTGTCCGGAACGCGATGAAACTCCCATGGCCGGAATCAGTCGTCACGCTGATCAGAAAGTCTCACAAATGTGGACACAAATTTGGAAGGCAAGTGCTTAGCTTCTAAAGTTTTTGTTCTTCTCAAAGTTTTTGCTCTCTCTCTCGCAGCAAGCTCTACGAGGACGCGGTTATGTCGTGCTTGTCCGTCCAAGAGAACGATGCCGCCATCGCCATTCTCACAGACATGGAAGAGTCCGGAGTTAGCACTCCAAACGAGCTGCTAGGCCGGGTCCTTCCAGATAACTAATCTAAAATCTCCCATTAGACACGTGGCATAAGCTAGGGTTTTGGGGCTTGGCAATGGTAAGCTCTTCTCTGGCGCGCTCGCGCGTCCACGATCTTCTCTCGGCTTGATGGTCGATCCTGTTTTCTAGGAGAGGGCGATCGGCGCTGCTGATCCGAAATATGTGGCTGGATCGAAGATTATCTGCGTTTCGTCGTGGGACAATGCGCGGCGTAAGTATCCGGTTTTGGGATATTTCCAGCGGTTTTGATCGTCTCCTTCTCTCTAGATTCGGCCGAGATCATCGATCGCAGGGCCTCCAAGGATGGAATTGAGTACTACGTTCACTACATTGATCGTGAGTGGGTTTCTTTGAGGTCTGGGATGATGAGTTGTGGATGTAGTGAACAAGCGCATGGACGAGTGGGTTTCTCCAGGGCGGATAGAGAGATTGGACACGGAAGTTGCTCCAACGTTGAAGTCTATGATGGCTGAGAAGCTTGCTCCACTCACAATTCCTGGCACACCGAATTCAGGTGGACAGGGATCCTGTGATAGCAAGCACGACACTCCAGGCACGTCAGACAGGAAGCTCACCAGGAATTTTAAGCGGAGATATGACGAGATTCACAACGTCCAAAAGGTTTTATAGACTTTCTATACTTCTTTGTCGCTCAAGAAATGCTGTTCTGTAGGGAGTGGACGAGCTTGCACCCATCGATCAAACTCTAGAAAAGGAGCACGAGGAGAAGACGAAGATCAAGAACATACAGGTTCTTAGCATGGCCCGAGAGGTTTACGATGATTCTAGGTGCTTGTTCTTCAGGTTGTGGAACTGGGAAAATATGAGATGGACACCTGGTAAGTGCATTTCTCATCAATATCACAAGGATTAAAACACTATTGTTTGGCTTACGCAGGTACTATTCGCCCTATCCAGATGAGTACGCGCACGAGCACAAGCTTTACATTTGCGAGTTTTGTCTCAAGTATGTCAAGAAGAGAAGAACTATTGAGCAACATAAGGTACTTTAAGCTGTCTGTGCGGAACTGCATATAACTATTCATGTGTTTTAGATAACGTGCCACCTGAAGCGGCCTCCAGGCAAGGAAATATATCGAATGAGTGCCCAGTCCGACGATGGAAGCGGCAAAGCTACTTTGGCTCTCTTTGAAGTGGATGGGTTACTACAAAAGCTCTATTGCCAGGTAATTGTCCTGGTTCCGTGTAGATTTTCTGTTGATATTTATTTATTTTTCCCTTACAGAACTTGTGCCTGTTTGCGAAGCTCTTTCTGGATCATAAGACTCTATTTTATGACGTCGAGGCTTTCTTGTTCTATATTCTCACCGAGATTGATGAAGACGGGTTCCATTTAATGGGATATTTTTCAAAGGCAACTTGTTGAAAGCAGCTTTTCGTTTTCTAATCTCTCGTGTTTCTTCTGCAGGAAAAGCTTTCACTGGAGGAGTACAATTTGGCCTGCATTTTAACGCTACCTCCTTTTCAGCGACGCGGATACGGACGCTTGCTGATTACTTTTGGTACGCCCTGACGTTTAAGTTTGTTTTTCTACTTATGTATGGATCTGGCATAGCGTATGAACTTACAAAGCGCGAGGGTAAATCGGGGACACCAGAGCGCCCGCTATCTGACCTTGGGAAGGTTAAATGTTCAAGCTTCGTTTTTATTGCACCTTATATTTACTTGATGCAGGTGAGCTTTAGAAGCTACTGGACGCGAATTCTACTGAGCATTCTCAAGGATCATCGGGGAAATTTGTCTATAAAGGTTACTTGGTCTTCTTTTTCTAAATCATGTTCTTATAATTCATATAGGATTTAAGTACCATGACAGCCATTCGCACTGACGACATTGTTCAAACTCTTCAATCTCTGAATCTTATCAAGTACGTGGAGTCTTCCTTTTTATACTTTTTTTCTCATTCTTTCCAGGTACTGGAAAGGCCAGCACATTCTTTCAGTTACAGCACGCGTGGTTGACGAGCATTTGAAGGTGCCGTATTTCTTTCCTCTGGTATGTGACCCGCAATTTCGCTGAATGCAGAATGTCGGACCACAACCAACCTGGAGCATTGATCCAGCGAAGATGAACTGGACTCCAACAACATATGCAATCAAAAGGCCACGGTGACGTAGTTTAGAGGGACCGAAGGAGGACTGTAAGAGACGTGAGTAGGACTACAGATGATGCAGCTGTGACAGTTGAGAGCAGGGACAAGATTATAAGAACTTTGCTCGGCCTCATATTCAACAGCTGTTCGTGTAGGAGTCCCAGAAGTAGCGATATCTCTAGTTGGATAGCAGGATAGCAGTTCTTCTCCCAAGGCATCCACTCCGACTTTGAAGCTTCGTCAGAATTAGCACCATCTTCTCGCAGCTGGACCTGGCGAATCCTTTCTCTCAGCAGCAGCATGTCACTAGCAAAGTTTGTGCTACTGAACCCGTCTACGGCTGAGTCCTCACCGCGACTTTCCGACACCTTTACCTCACGGATTCGTTCACTCAGCAGCCGCATCTCCCTTTTCAAACCATCTGCACTGAAGCGACTATCGGAAGAAGAAAACGAAGACGAACTAAAGTCTAGAGACATCTGGACTCTGGCACGCCTAGTGCGATGGAGAACGGGCCTAGAACGGCACAGGTTTTTCCTCAGCGTCCTAGAATTCACAAGGAGCAGAGCTGATGAAGAGCTACTGAGAAGATCCATGGCCGAAGATTCAGACTGCGATGTTGGAAAAGCCTAGCAGCTTAAATGAGAGACCATTCAAGCTCCAGGACAAGAACAGGAAGGCTGCGGAGAAGGTTCGTTGTCCGCGGGAATTTACAACTGTTTCTTAGCGTTGTCTGGACATTTCTGCCGTTCCGTATCCAGATAGCTTCGAAGTAGTCATCAAGAACAGGAAGCCTGCTAGCAAACAAAGCTGGGTAGAGCTAGCTACCTCTCGGACGGCTCTTCAGAAGAATGTGGGTCAGTCAGCGTGCTGTCGTCTTCTCGGGTAAGTGCGAGTTTTATGCTTCACGTTTTAGTTTCTTTTCGATTTTTTACGACTTCTGGAGTGCAGATCTCTTGCTTTATTCTCGAAAGATTGGCCAACAAGAAGGAAACTGTTTGTCTTCTGACGAGGTAGCTACCTAGCTTCTTTTTTTTTTTCAATTCGATCGTGTTATCGTGACGGAACTTCTTCTCTTTGACAGGACTTCTATCTTTGGCAACTACTGTGCAAGAATCAATTTGTGTTGAATTTACAGGAGTGAGTATATGGTCTCTGGAGCTACCATACGGAGTCATGCTGAGACACTTGTTGGTGCGGGTTCATGAACGGGACAGGAGCAGAATAGTGTGGGTGAGATACCACCAGCCGTATTATCGGGTCGATCACCTCGTCATTGTCACTGCTCCATGTCGGTGAATTGCCTGCTTTGACAAACTATATCGGTAAGCCTCTTCATTTCATCCGCTAACTCAAAGCTTACTCACTCACTGTGTACCTTTAGGAGCCGGGTAGAAATCGTTGTTTCGCCCTGGAGCCATTAGCAAGCAGTTACCTTCATCCTGAACGATACGCTCTTGTGAGGAAACTGGCTCAGCAGTCTGCAGCAGCTCCAGACACAGCTTGAGCTTACTGTGGTCCGCCGGTGCTCCACCTTCCGACGCTAAAGTCAGTGCTTGGAACACATGACTTTGCACCATGTCCAGAGCGGTGGTTCCTGCTGGAGAACGTACGTGTGGGCTCGCATGGTGGTCGAGCAAAACCGCTATCATCTCTGGATCAGCGAGTTCTCCAGCAATGTGTAGAGGTGTCCTTCCTTCGACATCGACAGCGTTGACATCGGCGGCTCCGAGCTGTAGCAGGATGCTCACAACTTTTCGGCTGCAGTGCGCGACAGCATAGTGAAGAGCGAACGTTTTGTCGAGGCTGAGGCCTTCCTCCATGACCAGAAGCTTCACCAGCTCAACATCCGACGAATCCAGTGCCTTTTGCATCCTCCGTGTCCGTTGCTCGTCCAGCGAGTCGCTGCAATCGGCTCTGGAGGCATTGTAGTAGCCACATTTATGTCGGATGGCTTCTATCTCGGCAGCTATCTCCACCGGTACATGTTTCTCTAGCGCTTCCGTTGACAGGCCAGACTTGGCTATAAGCTTGGAACACACTGACCACAGTTGGAGCAGGTCCTGCTCGCGAGCTGTGACAAGGATTCTCATGGCGTCCTCGATCGATGCCTTCTCAGCCATCGCAGCCAGCTCCTTCTGTTGTAAAGGTAAAGAAGTTGGATTACTTAAATCATTGGCTTCTCTCTCTCTCTCTTTCTTACAGACCTGTACCAAGACGGAGAGCTCGTCAATGCCAAACATTTGAGCGGCATGAAGGGCTTCCAGCGCGAAGTCGACCGCGGCTCTACATTGTGAATGCCAACAAGAGCTTTCCTTGCACCCTCTGTCAGGCTGAGAATTCGAAGGTAGCAAACATAGCTGACCACTGTAGAGAAATCGCAACGTGAGCATGAAGGCGTCGTGGCCGACTGCCGAGACCGGCATAACCAGGGGGGCTTGCGTTGGTCCATTGCTAGTCAGCACCATCCGGAAGAATCGACTCCGTGCAGCCAGGACACACTTGTGAGCATAGACGTGCCTCCCGTCGATTGCAAATGCAACGTCACTGAAGGCCTGGCCATTATCTAGGAGGTTCGAGAAGTCCTCTGCCAGTTGCTTCAAAGGCTCCGAATCCTCGAGACTCATTCCGGGAAACCTTTCTCAGAACAAACTAGCAGCGGAGCCGGGACTGCGAAATACCGTGTGAAGATCCTGAAGCAAAGCTGTGCAAGGATTCATCTCATGAAGAACTCTATGCTCTTAGATGGCAAGAGATGGGGCGGGAAAAGTCTAAGACGATTATAAGAACTCAGCACTCAACTGGTCGTGATCAGCGAGATCAAAAAGGTGAGAGGCTTCATACCTTTGAATTCTTTCTTCTGATTACACATCTGCTGATTCGATCGCTACAGGGATGTTTTGTGGCCGCGAAAAGGCAACAAGAACGCTGTTTGTCCATTCATGGTGCTGTTCTTTCATTCTCTCCATTTCACACTTTTTTCTGTGCCTAGGAGTTGACTCGAGAGCTCTCTTTTTCTTTCTAGGAAGGCCGCTACCGCTCCTTACATTTTTTTTAGCATGGGGGATTGATGACTCGGTCTTTTCCTTATGCTAGGAAATGGACGGGTAAACGCTACTCCAGTTTTTTTCTTCGCGTTTGGTTTGTCTCGGTTGGATGATTGGCTTGGTCTTATTAACTTTCATATTTGCAGCTACCCGCCATTGGAAAGGGAAGAACCGGTCAAGGGGGCCCGATGATTGGGACTCTAGAGGTACACATCCAGTGCACACTTTTGTCTAGCACCTTGCTTTCACAGGTATGACTGGTTCATCGAGAAAAAGAATTTTTAAAGTTGGAAAAGATAACTAAAGGATGCGGTACGGAGACTTACGTTATCTCAGGTGGGGGTGTTAAAGCCAGAAAATTAACTTCCAAGCCAGCGAACCAGCCAGCGAGCGGAAGCTTTGGGTGCTGCGACCTTTTACGAGCAGCACAAACGAGGTCAAAAGCTCCGCTCACCGTGACGAGACTTATCAGGTAAGCGTCCGTTTCTTTTCTAAGAGGAGATTTTCTCTTGATTACAGCTTCTCTTTGGCAGACAACGGGATATAAAAAAGAGCATCGACAAAAAGGGGCACTAGCATTACGTTGTAGGATCATCCTGGATCTATGCGAGACAGTTGAGCTGTTCCGGGGCTTGTTTCACGAGGCAGCATTGGGACGGTGAAAAATGCCTCTCCTAGTTTTTATTATGGGCACTGACATTCTCTTTCATTTGGCTCTCAGAGGCGGTACACATATCCGGAACTCCAGCCTCGAAAAGCTTTCTGGTAATCTGTGCCTGTCCCCTCTCTGTTTTTCTACCTAGTGATTCTCTTGTTTCTTTGTTAATGTGATGTTTACACTATACAGATATCCAACTTTTAAAGGGGGACCATCTCGCCCTGCGCGTACAGTGTGTCGACATTCTGGAATGACATGGCGACACTCCCACCAAAGCTTTCGAGCGAGTTGCCGGACGCGAGTTTAGCAGCGGGAGGCGAGCATGTTGTCATCTTCCAGTGGTATGGAGACATCTCTTTTTCTTTTGCCGATTTGCAGTGGCCACTCCGTGTATAAAAATCCGTCCCTGTGCTTGTTTTTGCAGCAGCCAAGGATTGCAGGTTTCGGTGGTGCTGGTTCCAATTCAGGTCGCGGCTACGTTCCCTGTTGCTGGGCTCTGAATTGAAATCAGCGCCCTTGAAACTTTGCGATCCACACAGGGGGATATCGGTTCTATTTTCTCTCGATGTCTTTGGTGAGGTCTTTGTTTCCTCATGGTGTGGGAGATTAATAAGTTTTTGGCTCCTTTGGCAGCACTGGAACAAATACGTTACAACGCGTGAGGCAAGATGTTCGTCGTGGATCAATCAGGTACGAGGTTTTTTTATTTGGCGCTCAAAGCGTTAACTATAGTGGCAAAAAGTACTTATTTTACAAGCAGTGTTAGCTGGCCGGAAATCTGCGTTCCTAATAGTTGCATGGCTTCACAAACTTGTCCACTTGAAGACATCATACCAATTTAAGCTAAAATATAAACTAAGATCAAGTTTGACTCTGCAGAAGTTTTCACCTTCATTGACAATGAGTTGAAAGAAAGAGATTGATCGCAACAGAAACACCACCATGCTCCCCTTTGTGCTAATTGGCATGATATTTTTTTAATGTAAACAAAGAAGAAAAGCCTGGAACATTAAATCTTGGTGGCGATGTCTCGGCCAGGAACGCACACAACTCGAGCCGGGGTGTGTATGGCAGCATATTGGCCTTTTGAGCTCCTCTACATTAAGCGCTGTCGTCATCAACAGAGCACCACCACTTGTCTGTTGAAACAGACACACAAAAACTATTAAGAAAAAAGAATAACGTAAATAACTTCAGAAAAAAAGTAAGAAGGAAGCTGGCGATGTTGTTTTGTTTACCAGAGTTCTTGGGTTTTGGCTGTTGAGAGCCGAGATGTAAATCGCAGGCTTGGTCCCAACGTTGAGCTGAAAGTGAACGATTTCAAGTCAGTGGTGAAGATTTCATGGTGGACATAAGTTATTCCTTGAGACTTTCGTAGAAACAAACGAAAGAACAAGCCATGAGTTTTGAGAACTGAAAAAACCTTCCAATCTTGCTACGAGATTTCGTGCTACGAGACTTCTTGCTTCGAAACAAAGTCAGCCTTTAAATATAAGTGTTCCCATCAAAAAGCCAAACAAGTCAAGGATATGATCATCATATCAAGATCAGATGTTCGCAATAGCCCGGTTCGTCCTTGAGATCCTTTTCAGTTTTTCGTTCGTCACAGGAAAACCATGAGATCGCAGTGGTGAAGATTTCATGGTGGACATAAGTTATTCCTTGAGACTTTCGTAGAAACAAACGAAAGAACAAGCCATGAGTTCGAGGCCTGAAAAAAGAATACGTGATTCCAGAGATTGTCTGGGACGATTGCAGCCTCTCGTAAAGACACTTTGGCAACATGCATCCTCTCCCATTCAACCCCAACAAATTAGATATAAATGATACATCTCATGGTTTTCCTGTGACGAACGATGTACTTTCAGCTCAACGAGGTAGTTAGTTAGCACCTCGAACTCATGGCTTGTTCTTTCGTTTGTTTCTACGAAAGTCTCAAGGAATAACTTATGTCCACCATGAAATCTTCACCACTGCGATCTCATGGTTTTCCTGTGACGAACGAAAAACCTCAAGGACGAACCGGGCTATTGCGAACATCCCCCTTAACATCTCGTAGCACGAAATTCAAATTCCTTACAGCCTTCGAGTAACAATCTCTTTATCATATCTCGACTTTTCTCATAGAAAAGGTTTTCAACCATTTGAAAAGTTAGTTGGGGCATCCCAAAGCACCACGAAAGTATCCAAGTCTTTTGTACCCAGGCGATCTCATGGTTTTCCTGTGACGAACGATGCACTGAAAAGGATCTCAAGGACGAACCGGGCTATTGCGAACATCCCCCTTAACATCTCGTAGCACGAAATCGCTAAGAGCTCCCTACCCCGCGAAATCCCGCAGTGGATCGGGATTGGCAGCGACTAACACATTCAAGCACCCAAGATCACCACTGCCAACAAAGCTTCTTGAAATCCAACGGTAAAGAAAAAAAGTATCCAAATGCGATCAATGTCTCGTTGTGCTTGAGAAACAATAGGAGAAGAGAGAGAGAGGATCAAAGACGTGTAAAAAGGAAAAATAAGAACGAAATGAGGGAAGAGGACATCGAGCTTGCATGCATGCATTCAAGAGAACGTGTGTTTTTGGAAAAAAATTTAATTCAAATTCCTTACAGCCTTCGAGTAACAATCTCTTTATCATATCTCGACTTTTCTCATAGAAAAGGTTTTCAACCATTTGAAAAGTTAGTTGGGGCATCCCAGCCATTACATTTGCTCCATTAAGTCAAGCTTCGGTGATACAGCGATCAAGTCGCTCTCATCCTCTACCTAGTCGTTTTTGCAATAGAAACCACTTGATCAACCACTACCCAAGCAATTCTGCAATGAAATCAGTAGGTAGAGGGAAATCGTCCAGAAAATCCAGCAGCAGCACGAGACTTCTTGCTTCGAAACAAAGTCAGCCTTTAAATATAAGTGTTTCCATCAAAAAGCCAAACAAGTCAAGGATGGATCACTTTAGTTACAGTGGACAATGTAAACAAAGGACCTTAAATCTTGGTGGTGATGTCTCGGCCGGGAACGCACACGGCGGGCGGGGCCAACTCGAGCCGGGGTGTATATGGCAGCATATTGGCCTTGAGCTTCCGGATCACGTCCAGCCCTACGTTGAGCGCAGTTGCAGCGGACCTGTCCGGGATCATCAAGAGAGCACCACCACTTGTCTACACACACGCATCAGAAAAACGTTAAGAGAGAAGCTTTGTTTACCAGAGTTCCTGGGTTTTGGCTGTTGAGAGCCGAGATGTAAAACGCAGGCTTGGTCCCGACGTTGATCTCAAAGTGCATCATTCCCCGCGGGAATATCGTGATGTCGCCCGGGTTCAAGAGGTTGATGTGTGGTACTCCTGGAAAATCACCCCATATGTTCTTTATAAGATCGAGACAGAGAATCTTATTTTCCTACCAGCTGTATCCACGAATCCAACTTGAAGTGGCCCGCCAGAGATCATGGTGAGGAGCTCGGAAGCTCGAGGGTGGGTGTGTGGGAGATTGACTCCACAGGGAACCATGTTAAAGTGTACATAAGTTATCCCTTGAGACCTGCAAAGAAAACCAAGGAAAACCTCGATTGGGATCTCCAAAGGCCAAGAGTTAAGAAAAGTACGTGATTCCTGGGAACAGTGTCGTGTTGATCGCTGCGCGAACGCCACCGGGTCCATTGCTCACGACGCCATTCTTGAACACATCTCGCAGCACGAAATTGCTAAGAGCTCCCGACCCCTCGAAATCTCGCAGCGGGTCGGGGTCGGCAGCGCTCACAAACACATTCCCGGCGGCAGCGCCCAGGATCATTACCACCAGCATCGACTTCTTGGACTCCATCGCTCGAGATCTAGCCAAAGGAAGATTATCTCGTCTCCTTGTCAGAAACTTCGACTCAGGAAGAGAACGAGAGGGGGCGAACGATGATAAATCTGCCAAGAGTGTGGGGTTTATATACTGTGGCAAGTCTCAAAGTCGGAGATTAAAAACTCTCCAAAAACACGCGTAGTCTCAATTGCCAAGCTGGTTACGTTTCTAAATATTTTCTTTACGAAAAAAATTAAGGTAAAACTATTTTGACCTGACCAGGTCTCACTCACGTTCCAAATCGTAGATTCTACGAATGCATACATACTCACAAGTTCTTACAAACCAATCCTTTGATTGTTTTAGATGGCAAGAAAAAACATGACGTAGAGTTTTTGGTACATACAAGGAGACTTACACTTGTCAGATACGGGAAATATTTTCTCCTTTTTTTTGTTCGCTCAATGTGCTGTGTCTGTCATAATCTATAGGAAGAATTATCGCAAAAGCAAAACAGAGAAGAAGATAGCTACGCAAGAATCGGGCTGAACTCTCTCCATCGAATCCGTCCACGCAAACCTGGAGAGAAACTTTAGCTCAAAGTTTTGTTACCTTTTCCCCAGGATACACCGTCTTGGATGACGCACTCCTCTTGAGTCCCAGAACAATCAGATATTTCTCACGACAGGCTTCTAGGGAGGAGACGTTACTGTTTAAATCAGTGAAACTTAGTCAATCTCAGCTTAGCATCCCCAGCTTCTCCAGCGATGCGTCTTTCTTGGAAAATCCAATGACACATCACCCGGAGAAACTCCACGACGTCGGACTTGCATCCGCCACACCCAAACAATCCGGCCATGATTCTTAAAGTGGCCTTCCCTTCCGAATATTCTTGTAACGAGTTTTGCAATGGTTTTAGCTCGTACCATTGGAGATTTGTGCTGCCGGGTGGATAGAGGAGCTTGATCAGGTCACCCAACAGAATGGTTTCTATCGAGAAAATCCAGAAGCAGCTTTCGACTTGGTACTCTGAAAGTCGATACAAGCATTCTCTGTTTCCTTTTCTTTCTTTAAATCCAGGTGATCACTTTGCAAAGTGTGTCGAGTTCGTGCATCGTTTAGCTTAGTTGGAGGGAATCGATTCCATTTTCTACTCCCAGCTAGTTTTGGAGCTTACAAGAGGAAACGAGCGACAAAACTGTTGCATAGGGTCACAGGAAAAGGATCTCCGTGAACACCGTTGGAGAATTTGATTTTCTCTTTCCAGCCATCTACGGTCGTAGAACACTGGAAGTCTCCGTGAAGGTTTTGCTCTAAAGTGGAAGCAACTCAAGTAATATATAGTAAGTCTCGAAAATATTGTTGGTGGTGATTGTGAGTCACCATCACCACCATTAATGATGGCGAAGAATGGCGGACCATGGGGGAGTGATGTAGGTTTAGTCCCATGCTCCTCAGTCGGACACACATGATTATGACAGTGAAAAAGTGGTTCATTTATACGCTTCTTACATGGATTTTTTTCTTCTTCTTTTTGCCTTTGTACAATTACAGATTGCAAGCTGGCCTAAAATTTCCACTAATGATTTCATGTATCTAATCTCGAAATATAATATGGTGTCAAAGTTGGTGTAACCAACAAGGTTGATGGCTCCACGCATTCAGACTATTACATCGTGGAGGCAGATAATACCCATTCATCAAGGGAAAATCTATGGTTGGGAAATTTTTAATGCGAATGGAAGTCAGAGTGCAAAGAATGCCAATAGCAAGAGCTAAAGCCTCGTATAGAATGGATGAAGCACAGCCATGGCTCAGAAACTATTCACGCTTGTAGTACTTCTCCAAGACTGGGCCCAAGAACACATGACATGAGCAAGGTCCCCAATTTGAAGATCACCTGAATACTTTTTCTTTTCGTCTCTAGGTGGAGAAGTACTACTAGCGAATAGTATCTGAGTCATGGCTGTCACGTTGTAAAATTGTCACATTGTTGTGTACAATTGGATGCTATTTTTGTTGGTGAGGCATCTTGTTTTAGATCGTAAGGCCCAACTAAAAATCCAAGTACAAACTTTGTTT